GTGATTTGAAATAGTTATCCCTTGTGATGGAAAATTAATGCAGTCAAGTTTGACCGTGATTCTTTCATCACATGGGATACAAAACGGAGGATCTTCGCCTTTCAATAAATATTTGTGAGTATATCTAGAATGGCCAATGCAACATCGTCGCATATAATGACCTCTTCAACTCTGGACTGACAACCCAAGTAGGTGTAACCGATATAGGGTTTTATTGCAGGTAATTTATTGATACCCACCTGGGTGTCCCACTTCTTCTGCATCAGACCACGGATGAAAGTTCTAATGCTAGCTTTGTAATCAGAGTATGGGATCAGAAGTGGTGTCACAGATTTGTTGAGTGCTGCCTTAGCAGCAAAATCGGCCATTGTGTTCCCAGAAATACCAACATGGCTGGGTAACCAACAAAAGACGATGTCGAATTGGCCAGTAGCAAGATCATTATACAATTCAATAATTTCTATTAAAAGTGGATGTTTAAAAGAAAGATTTTTAATGGCCTGAAGGCATGAAAGAGAATCGGAAAAGATTATGTATTGTTTATATTTACGGTGTTTATAAATATATTTAGAACTGTTAATATGGCGTTAGCTTCTGCTGTGAAAATAGAGCTTTTACTGGGCAAGCGAGAATACATTGTTTTGGATCCAATGACAGTGGCACAAGCTACTGCGCTACCATCTGGACCCATCTGTAAATAAGGATTTGTATGTGCTATATTTACTTTTTAATTGATTATATCTTCAACGTCAAGAGCATTCACTCCAGCCGCAGGTCCGGGTGATAATTGTTATGTTTGGTAGGAGATGTCCCTGTAATAGCCTAGACGGTATCCCTTTGTGTTGCCAACTAGTGTCCATCTCCCACGATATCTGCTTAGGACAAATGATCATGCTTAATCTGCAATCAGGGCGTCCCCACTTGTCTTCAAGACGGCCTAAAGAAGTTACAGTGTGAAATTACAAACAAAACGTCATCAGGTGTGGTCATTATTATGTTTACATCTAAACACACTGGAAAGAATTTGCATTTCTTTCGATATGCTGGCTGTGAAGGGGATGTATTAAAAATCTAAAGATCTTATAGTGTGATTGACGATCAAGACTGGAATTCATGGCCATGATGTAATAAAGGTTGGGCATTTAAAGGAATCATATGTGTCCAAACTTTGGAAACAAAAGTAATACAACACTTCCCAAAACTGAGATAGCGCCCAGCTACGGCAACCAGTTACTACTAGTTAAGTCATAATTCCAATTCACTACTGGCGACCCCTCCAGCGTTGTGACCCCTGTGAATACAAATTGGACCTGAGCCTAATGTTGATACACATAAATTTGATAATCAGTATGCCCAGGCTGTTCATGCAAATACATTACTATCTGCTTTGTTTCCATAACAGTTATTGTTCAATCAGAATAACAATGGACATGAATAAGTGTACCTGTGTATAATTAAAGTATTATTATATACTCATAGAAACGAATAAGGGAACACATGAAAGTACAAGTGTTCCTTTATTTATTCCCAGAATTTCACTCACAATGAAATACATACTGTGTGAAGAAACCTGGAAAAGAATATAGGAACACTGTACTTTTGTGTATTCTCTTATTCGTTACCATGACTATATATTTCCAAATGGATATGTCAGGTGCACTGTTTGTTCAGTACACCATATGTTCACCAGCAGTACCAGGCTGCAGATCTGGGTGTTATGTAGCTCACCTTTCCACATGTTCCCACATATTCAGTTGTGCATACAATGTATTCAAATACAACAGGATTAAAGGGATAATACTTTAATGTCAGATCTTGTATTTGCAACTTGAATAACAAAATAGCTTAAGATAAAATTCCCAAACAATTATCTAAAAATACCATAAACTGGCATAAATCAAAAATAGTATACACAAGGCACAGATTGTCAGATTACTGATTGGAGGTAACATATCAGTACTTCAGACCCTCACTCACACACTTGAAGGCACTTGGAGATGGTTCTAAGACCATAATGAGGAGTGAGGGCAAATGGGTTTGAGTAGACTAAAGTACTTTATTTGACTGCACAATCATTTGATACCGAGATTACACAAAGTCTATTGACTATAATATCACATAATTGCTTTGTGTATGTCTCTGCTTAAAATATTGGAAATAAAATGATCCACACAAACCTCTTATGAACAAAAAAGGTTCGATGCTAAATATAAACTACTGTTGTATCAACAATTCAGACTACAACTCCTCCCTGAGCGGCTACAGCAGCTGCAGCACCGCCAGCAACAACATCAAGCCAGGAACCGGAACCATGCTCTCACTATCAGGCCTGCCCAATAGTATGTTTACACTACACATGCAGGTGACAGTCAGCATCAAGGATGATTTGTTGTTATTTTGCTCAAATTGACTTTTGATATATACAAATCAGGGCTGTTTACAATTAATAAAGGCAGACTGTGTTAAAAGTTTGGAAAAGGGAGGCACATTTGAAAAATAGGAATTGGTCTGGCCTCACTAGAAAATGAGACATGATGCCATTATGGCATCTGGTGTGTAGCTTCACCATCAGAGGAAAACAGGTCCATCATCAAACTGTATACTTTCAACAAACAGGTGGTGCATGCATAGCCTCCCGTTGAACCTGCCCCTGTTCACATAATGGGTTGCAGGTGAGAAGATTCTCTATATTTCAGTATAGATTTTTTCCTATAGATTTGAATACTTTCTGTCTATATTTGAGCTCTGTGTGGACAGTGTTCCTCTGGGTAAAAGTGATACCACACATAACCATTGTGTTGTACAACTGTCAGCAATGTTTGATTTCTTGTTAATCCATTTAATCCAAAACAGATGAAAGAAATCAGAATAATACATGTAATACACATCAATTAGATAAGTGATTGCACAATCTATCAATTTGTATATGGAGCAAATTTCAATGCTCTGAATACACATGTTTTAGTACTATACAGCACATCCATTCCATGCACATAACAAACATAATTCTATGCCATTTAGCACTATATAATATTGCATAATTCCAAACCAACATTTATATCTTGATTACATAATACAGGAGGAAGGCACTCAATGGGGTGAACATTGCAGCTGGTTCAGCTTGACCTGATCAAGGGAATACTAATGAATTGCGTGAATTGGTTGGGTCTATTATTGTGAAGGGGTGCACCTTTTTCAGATGATTGGTGTAAACGAGTGGACTGATTGTTGTGCCCATGTTGAAAATTTGGAAAGCGACTACTGGGACAGAAATATTGCAGTTGAACATGAAATAGAAAAAGTGATAATTGAACTGGGTGTAGAGAGTGATAGCCAGCGTGAATCGGATTGTGAAAGTAACTGATGTCTGTAAGTTGTAAAGTTCGCAAACCAAACTAGATAGCATATGACTGTATAAACAATTCAGTTAAAACATGACATGATTGTTTTTTTCAGAAGTGTTGTTTTCTGGGACAAGTTTTGTAACAAATCTATGTATGCATGCTTCGCACGAACGCAACATTAAAAACATTCTCTGCACCCCTATTTAATGAAGATAAGCCGATCTGCCGTTTGTGCCATTTGACCTCCCGGGTCATGCATATGTAGAGTAGCTCAGGTCAAGCTGAACAACTTGCAACTTGTATTGTTTACACAAGAACAGAAAAAATTAGACCAATTACTTCTGTTCTGCCCAAGCCATTTGTGAAATACAAAGTGTAATATCAAACCAACTCTGACAAGGTTCACACCATACCTGTAAATGGAAAGCAAATAGAATACAGCTTAAGATTGTAGCACAGCAAGCCCACACGTGCAGGAGGGATCACAGAACTGAAAGTAACCCTGTCCCAAGTTCCACCTCCAGTTAAGCTCCTGACAACAGAATAGCATCTACACAAGGCCAATAACTTACACCACATACCCCATGTATTACGCTCAATCCACCAGACAGTCCAAGTTGTGAGTCCAACTCAGGCCTGCCAGTTTGAGATCATAGAAGCAAGGTGATGTTCCACAGGCAGACAGATGGCACACTACTGACTTGTCCACCCCTTATACTACGAAATATTTTGTTATAATTCTACATGTGCAGGGGGTCATTTTAAAAACTGACACAAACAGCCCTTGCAAAAATATCCACTAATACTTGTGGAGAAGAAAACTTCCTTTGGTAACAATTGGTAAACATGAGTTACAATTTACCTGAAAACATCTCTAAACATTGTAAGGCAAACACCACTGTAGGCTAGTAATACTCAGCCAGGCATATCCACTTTGAGAATCTTGCCTCCATGGTACAACCCCGTAACAAGTTTCATTGTAAACCCAAAGTCACCATGTTCTCTGATTGGTTGAAATACATGACTATTTGCTGCATATTGACACGTACAAATATCGCACACAGTTGTATTGTTGCGTCGTCAGCAATGGTGACGTCATTCAAATCATATTGTGACAAAGTCAGAATGACTTCACAAATAAGCAGTTCCAGATGCTACCATGGGAACCAGCTGAAACGGCTAGCTGATGACACTTCACTGCTGTACCAGTACTCGATGTCAATGGGTGCAAACAGTAAAACCCATGTGGACCTTTTGGTTTACTTTTGTGTTTACAATGTCGATAAGCATCATGTGTAGATATAAAAATCAATTTTCCCTGTTCAAAAGAATAAAATCTTACTGTTTTTATAAGTCAAAAATTTAAACCTACAAGAATTTTGTTTTTCAGATTGTTTTTTGCCCCATATACACGTCATAAAGTGCCAAAAGTAAAATAATTTCAGTGTTTAGAAGGAATATTACTTTGAATAGTGATTTTAATTTTTATTTTTTTCCGCTCCTGCCTTTAGGTTTTTTGAAGACAAAAATCTGTAAAACAAGAAATAAAACTGGTCTGGCCATACCCACTTTATAAAGAACACATCTACAGAATCAGACTGATCAGATGTGTCAGTGGATGCAAGTCCTGTCATAAACCAACAGCTGACACTCATCACGAACACACGACTTTATCAAGAACACATATATCAGTATTAAGTCAGATTGATCTGACAAGCAATATACCGAGGTTGACCCATCTCCTAGCTGCCAGACGAACTCGGGGCTCCACTGTCTAGTGTTTGTCTTGTCCTCATTATTGTCTAGAAAGTGAAAGTCTTCTGCTGCTTCCCATCACCTGCAAGAAGTGTTATTACTTCATATTCCCATATCATAACATGTAAATGTGCTCACCGATTGCTGCTTTAAGTCACCATATTATCCCATGTCAGTGGAGGCAATGCTTAAACTTGAATCAGATGGGTTCATTTCACAGAAATCAGTGCTAAGTTCCTATATTCTTAATTTCAGTTTCATTCACAAAGAGATTTCAGAGATGTAGAATATGGGGTAAATCTCGATAAGTAGAACTGTGTGCAACATTTGTAAATATCAAACAATAATTCAGAATAAAATATCCTTTACATCTTCAAAATGGGTGCTTAACATGTTTTTTAGCCTACAATGGATTGACTGATATACAATGTGCCACGGCATACGATCACTTTAATTTTCATTTAACGTCTTATCATGGCAAGACTTACCATTGGGTTTCCAGTTTGAGTTAAAGTGTTTCTGCAGAGTCTGCCAGCACTGGGAATAATTGGGGTCAACTTTATTCTTGTTGCCCCATTCAGTAACAGCCATACTGAAGGATGACTCAAACATGAATGCCTGCAATATCAGACAGAATCATCAGAAAAAATCAAATACACCAACTGATTTCCTGAATCTAACCTAAATCTCTAAAAACAAAAACAGAAACAAAAAGTCAAACAAGTGACTTTATTTACTGGTGGAAAAAAACTAACTGTGCTTCATATAAATTCAATAAAGACAAGTGTTTTGCCACTAATATGGCAATGTCCCCCGCTGTTAATATTTACTAGATTTTATATTTTTGGTCACATGCACGATTCCTGAAATGACTGGTGTCTGCATAATCAGCCATTGTAGGCTGTCGGCATAATTGAAGATATGGGGTGCAAAGTTTTATGAGATATCATGTTTATATAAGTTTGAAAAGTGGTCAAAATGTCATGGTGACCTTGAAAATAAGGTAAATGTCACCCACCAAATCAACTGGTGTCTGTGTAATCCCCCATTGTAGGCTGTCACCAAATTTGAAGACATTGGGTACAACAGTCCATGAGATATCGCATTAACAAGAGTTTGAAAAGTGGTCAGTGTCGTGATTACCTTCAAAATAAGGTCAAGGTCACCTAAATCTGTTGGTGTCTGCATAATCCCCCCAATGTAGGCTGTCACCAAATTTGAAGACATTGGGTACAACAGTTCAGGAGATATTGCGTTAACAAGAATCAGGACGTACGGACAAACGTAGAGACGCTGCTGAATACATAGTCTCCCATTTCGCATTGGGGCGGGGGAAAAAAAATCATTAGCATCAGTTGGTTCCCATAATCACAATTTGGTTTTGGGGTGTTCAGATCTCATGGCTGAAAAGAATTTATCTTTGTTAATGGCAATTTGAATGGCATAAGCTACCAGGATGACTTCATGGGTTACATGTCACTTACATGAAAATACTGGGAAATCACCGAACGTGGATAATACCTGCCTACTCATGACTATATTGAGGCAGCATCAGATTGCTCTACTGCCAAAGCCAGCTGTTCCTTCAATAGAATGACACAACTACTTCTACCTCAGTACAATAGGCAGCAGGTAGAATGACACAACCAAAGGAGGCTCCAGACAGAATGACACAACAACCACAGGAGGTTGCAGGCAGAATGACACAACAACCACAGGAGGTTGCAGGTGGAATAACACAACAACCAAAGGAGGCTGCAGGCAGAATGACACAACAACCACAGGAGGCTGCAGGTGGAATGACACAACAACCACAGGAGGCAGCAGGCAGAATGACACAACAATCACAGGAGGCTGCAGGTGGAATGACACAACAACCACAGGAGGCTCCAGACAGAATGACACAACAACCACAGGAGGCTCCAGGCAGAATGACACAACAACCACAGGAGGCTGCAGGTGGAATGACACAACAACCACAGGAGGCTCCAGACAGAATGACACAACAACCACAGGAGGCTCCAGACAGAATGACACAACAACCACAGGAGGCAGCAGGCAGAATGACACAACAATCACAGGAGGCTGCAGGTGGAATGACACAACAACCACAGGAGGCTCCAGACAGAATGACACAACAACCACGGGAGGCTCCAGACAGAATGACACAACAACCACAGGAGGCTCCAGACAGAATGACACAACAACCACAGGAGGTTGCAGGTAGAATGACACAACAACCACAGGAGGCTGCAGGTGGAATGACACAACAACCACAGGAGGCTGCAGGCAGAATGACACAACAACCACAGGAGGCTGCAGGTGGAATGACACAACAACCACAGGAGGCTCCAGGCAGAATGACACAACAACCACAGGAGGTTGCAGGTGGAATGACACAACAACCACAGGAGGTTGCAGGTGGAATGACACAACAACCAAAGGAGGCTGCAGGTAGAATGACACAACCACAGGAGGCTGCAGGCAGAATGACACAACAACCACAGGAGGCAGCAGGCAGAATGACACAACAATCACAGGAGGCTGCAGGTGGAATGACACAACAATCACAGGAGGCTGCAGGCAGAATGACACAACAACCACAGGAGGATGCAGGCAGAATGACACAGAAACCAAAAGACCGCAATCTCTATCTTAGGACAGAAGGCTGCTGACAGAATGACAATCACAAAGGTGTTTATCCCGTGCACGACGAGATAGTGGCTGTTCAGTTTCTGCGGTTTAACGCCGCCGCGACAGATAACAACTTTTGCGTTTTCAATGATGATAGTTTCTTAAACAACTTTTTTGGTGGAGTCTGGAAAATTTTCAAATATAAGAAAGCTGTTGGGTATTAGTAAATGATAAACATGTGTACTATTTATATTTATGTGGCAATTTTGTACAATGATCAAATTTGGAATTCATCGGTCCGTTTCTGACTCAAATGGACTGTAATTGTTACACTCTCTGTCCCCAAATAGAATTTGCTCATATGTTACCATAGTCCCAGTGGCTATTTTCTCTGCTTTCAGTTCAGCACTTGAAGCTTTCTCAAAGCATTCACCATCAGGTCCGTGTGGCGTCATCAAGCTGTGCAGACTGGCTCCCCCGGGGCGGAACCCCTCTTCCTGCAACAATAATCACCACTATTTAGCAGCAACACTTAGGGGTGAAACGGTACGCTCTTACGCTCGGTCCGTTTCGGTTCAGTATATGAGACATTATCATAAGTCAGAAAATTGACAACAAGAGGCAAACCTTACATTGTTTCATAACATGGGAAACAAATAATCATAATCTTTGTTATTCTGAATGAAGAAAACTGTCATTTCATGACAAGAAAGAAGAATATAAAATATCACTGGAACCTTGGAGCTAACAGCCGTGTGGCAAAATAGCAAGTAGCCAAGTATGATTAAAAGTAACTAAAATCACATCAGAATTTACTGCAGTGAAATCACCACGCCCCAAAAAATGTTCATGCTTAAAAAACACTAAAAACAATACACAAATCAGATCTTGTCGAATGTGACTCTGTCGACGACATATCACGAATAAATAAATTAAACAAATTAACACAACACAGTTGTCATAAGACAGTTACAGTCTGTGTGACAGATGATTGTCCTTGACCTAAATCATTGCCTATCTCTCATTTCAGTCGGTTAAACATTTCGAGACTTTCAAGTTTCCACAGTCCTTGGGAAGTACTGCTACACAATCTTGGCACATTCCAGAATTTTATTTGTTCAGTTTTCAGATTCATTCAAAATATCTTTTAAAGTTCACTCAGAAATGCATTTCTCCTTTCTGAAACAAATGTGTTTTAGCTTGAGAAAGCTGCTTTCTCATTTTATCGGTCGTTAAATGTTCATTGCTCTGATATAGCTTGCAATGAGATGTTAGCACCAAGAAACAAACATAAGGCATAAGAACTGTGATGGGAAAGCCACCAGATCCATACCCATAATTGCAGTTATAACGCCGGTCTTGGGATCCATGGATGATCCCCCAAGTTATGAGACACCCGCGTTATACATAACCCGGAATAAAGGCCAAGTAAAAATTATTTTCCATGGACATAACAGAACTGCTATTTCGTGTATTGTGCCCATTCAAAACTATATCGTATCGTCGGAGGTGGAAAAAAATATTTTGTAAATGAAAATAAATATGTGTATAGGAAACCTGCAATCAATTTAAACATCACTAGACACGATAATTCAGTTTTCCTTCCTGTTATGCTACCTGTTATTCAACTAAGCTGGAAATAACAATCAGCTGTGTACTCATGTTTTGCTCCAATCTACCGTTGATTCTGTTAAAAACGACCAGTAAAAATATAACATCAAAGGATTTCTAGCCATTATCAGAATAATTTATATCTTAAGCAGTTACCGTATACCGGGAAATTTTCGAGGTACTAAAATTTCGAGGTTTGAGACCCCCAGAGCTTTCGAGGTGATATAAATTTCGAGGTTTGGGGGCCTAAAATATATAAATATTTAAGACAATTTTAATTTCGAGGTTAGAAGAAAGTGCCCAGAAACATGACTTACCGGATTAATACTCAGTGAACTATCGACAAGTAGCCAGTGATAACTGCCGTCTGACTGTTATAACTACCGGTATACCAGTCCATGGCAGAAATAATAGTAATGAAAACAACCCTTTGTTCCTTTGTTGTGATAAATTACCCATGAAACACTCTGTCGGCAGTGTTCAAACATGACGCCATTTTTTCTCAGACGATATTGTTTTTTTAACAACTAACTTTAAGCATGTATGATGGGTCTCTGTTGAAACTATGTTGTTGTTAGAAAGCTGACAAGTTGACCTCTTTAGCTAGCGAAACTGACCAACAGCACGGATGCCTTACAGCCCCAGGATGTTTGTGTAAACAATCCCTTTAAAGATGCGCATTCATCAAACCTGGCATCGCCGATGTGGTCCGTTTGGCCAGAGAGTGACATCGAGTGTATTGACAGTTGGTTTGACTTCACATGTAACACACTGGTTGAATTACCTATTTTTTATAATGCATGTTATTCTGGACCAACAATTACAACACAATTAAATAATCTCGACACCGCATTTCTGTTGTTTGTTCATACAGGCCGTTCAGGGTCATTGAACGTTAAGATTAGTTGTAGACAGGCATTAAAGAGTAAATGCGCATGTCAGGAAGTCATTGGTTGCCAGCAGTTGAAATGCTTATCGATAGGAAATCTAACCCAAAGGTTTGAAGTTCGGAAAAATTCATGGATATAATATTTTCGAGGTTGAGCTTCTAACCTCGAAAACCTCGAAAATTAGATACCTCGAAAATTTCCCGGTATACGGTATTTTAACAGAGATATTATATATTGCTATCATATTAGTATAATGCATGTTTTCTTCGAACGTATTTAACATAATAATTAACATAGGTTCAGCACTTTGGGTTACGTGGCTGGATACATTTTACGTATGAGACAGTTTGACAAGTCACCGTTGACTTCCCGCGGTACCTGTCTCTTTGATTGTAAAAACACAATATTGGCAATTAATTGTGAAATATTACTTCAATGAGTCAATAACGGGGTCTTGGGGTCCATGGATGATGAGGCAGTAATCTGTTTGTGATTGCTGAGCATAATGTGAAATTGGTGCTAACGCGGTAGACGCCAAAAGCGGACCCTTATGAACAAGGTAAACGGAAGTGGTATGCGTATAGAATGAGGTGATGTCATTTCACACACGTTTTCTCCAATGTTACTGTAAACAGTTTTAGTAAATGAAAATGGGATTAAATTTAATCAAATAAAATGAAATCGAGGTAGATCGTTTTATTATGAGTTTTCTGACATCATACGTTTTCGGATGGCAGTGTTTACCTACGCTATAACGCGGTGTGTTGCATCACAGCAAACATTGTAAGTACTCGGCTCATGGCATGTATTTATGATAAAGTTGACTTCGATAAGTTATTACAATGTTTCTCTGTTCGTCTGATTTGAAATAACTGAAAAAGAAACAGAACTCAGCTATTGATTTGGTATCTGCAGTTGCTGTCCTGCTGACTTTGCAAGTAGACGACTAGAGGCGACTCTCGAACTTACTTCCAGGAAAATAGCGGCCGTCAAGCAAGGAAATGCATAGATTTTGACCAAATGATTCGATTTCTAGACATTTTAGAAAAGGTTTAAAATGATTAATAAAATTACGGTACGAAAACCGAAGTTTTGGATTGCATTACGGTATACCGAACCGAAGGCAAAATACCACGGTTCTACTAATACCGCGGTATATCGTTTCACCCCTAGCAACTCTGCTTACAATCTATCAGTAAAGTTATCAAAAATGAAATTTAAAGGTGGCAGGAGGCAGATGGAATACTCCGAGTCTTCATCATATTCAGCTAAATGTGCCAGAACAATCTTTTGATGTAGAAAACAAATAATAAGACTGGGAAATAAGTAAATTGAATATTCAAATTGGATGGTAACATACCTTAGCTTCATATGCACCATATATAAGACCCATGAACTCACTCATGCAGTTCCCTGCAATCAGAAGTCATTTATCATACAGCATTTCAGAATTTGGCTTACACAGACAGCAGATATAAAAGCTTTAAACAGCAGAGAATCTACAAACTGTATTGTAGTATTGTACTGTGTGAGTGTAAGACTGTGTGTAAGTGAACTGTAGTAGTAGGACTGTGTGTAGGTGTACTGTAGCAGTAGGACTGTGTGTAGGTGTATTGTAGCAGTAGGACTGTGTGTAGGTGTACTGTAGCAGTAGGACTGTGTGTAGGTATATTGTTGTAGTAGGACTGTGTGTAGGTGTGTAGGTGTGTGTCAGGTGTACCTCTAGCAGTAGGACTGTGTAGCACGTGTGTACTGTAGTAGTAGGACTGTGTGCAGTAGTAGGACTGTGTGTAGGTGTACTGTAGTAGTAGGACTGTGTGTAGGTGTACTGTAGTAGTAGGACTGTGTGTAGGTGTACTGTAGCAGTAGGACTGTGTGTAGGTGTACTGTAGCAGTAGGACTGTGTGTAGGTGTACTGTAGCAGTAGGACTGTGTGTAGGTGTACTGTAGCAGTAGGACTGTGTGTACGGTGTACTGTAGTAGTAGGACTGTGTGTACGTGTACTGTAGTAGTAGGACTGTGTGTAGGTGTACTGTAGTAGTAGGACTGTGTGTAGGTGTACTGTAGTAGTAGGACTGTGTGTGTAGTGTACTGTGGTAGTAGTAGGACTGTGTGTAGGTGTACTGTAGTAGTAGGACTGTGTGTGTAGGTGTGTACTGTAGTGTAGTAGTAGGACTGTGTGTAGGTGTACTGTAGTAGTAGGACTGTGTGTAGGTGTACTGTAGCAGTAGGACTGTGTGTAGGTGTACTGTAGTAGTAGGACTGTGTGTAGGTGTACTGTAGTAGTAGGACTGTGTGTAGGTGTACTGTAGCAGTAGGACTGTGTGTAGGTGTACTGTAGCAGTAGGACTGTGTGTAGGTGTACTGTAGCAGTAGGACTGTGTGTAGGTGTACTGTAGCAGTAGGACTGTGTGTAGGTGTACTGTAGTAGTAGGACTGTGTGTAGGTGTACTGTAGCAGTAGGACTGTGTGTAGGTGTACTGTAGCAGTAGGACTGTGTGTAGGTGTACTGTAGCAGAAGGACTGTGTGTAGGTGTACTGTAGTAGTAGGACTGTGTGTAGGTGTATTGTAGCAGTAGGACTGTGTGTAGGTGTACTGTTGTAGTAGGACTGTGTGTAGGTGTACTGTATAGGGCTGTGATTAGTAGTGAGTACACACTGGCATTTGGGTGTACTGGGGCTGAAAATAGGAAGGTTTGATGCATTCTCACTGATCTGAAGGTGCAGTAATTGTGGTACTGAAGGTCATCTTAATCCGGTAGTGCAATGGATTAAAGGTATACTCACTGGTAGTATTATTGTTTAAAGTTGTACACACTGTGGTAGTGGGGTGGTCTGAACGTGTACTCACTGTGGTAGTAGGGTGGTCTGAACGTTAACACACTGTGTTAGTAGGTGGTCTGAAGGTGTACTCACTGTGGTAGTAGGGTGGTCTGAAGGTGTACTCACTGTGGTAGTAGGGTGGTCAGAAGGTGTACTCACTGTGGTAGTAGGTGGTCTGAAGGTGTACTCACTGTGGTAGTAGGTGGTCTGAAGGTGTACACACTGTGGTAGGGTGGTCTGAAGGTGTACACACTATCGTAGTAGGGTGGTCTGAAGGTGTACTCACTGTGGTAGTAGGGTGGTCTGAAGGTGTACTCACTGTGGTAGTAGGGTGGTCTGAAGGTGTACTCACTGTGGTAGTAGGGTGGTCTGAAGGTGTACTCACTATGGTAGTAGGGTGGTCTGAAGGTGTACTCACTATGGTAGTAGGGTGGTCTGAAGGTGTACTCACTATGGTAGTAGGGTGGTCTGAAGGTGTACTCACTGTGGTAGTAGAGGGTGGTCTGAAGGTGTACACACTATGGTAGTAGGGTGGTCTGAAGGTGTACTCACTGTGGTAGTAGGGTGGTCTGAAGGTGTACTCACTGTGGTAGTAGGGTGGTCTGAAGGTGTACTCACTATGGTAGTAGGGTGGTCTGAAGGTGTACTCACTGTGGTAGTAGGGTGGTCTGAAGGTGTACTCACTGTGGTAGTAGGTGTGTCAGAAGGTGTGGGTCAGAAGGTGTACTCTCACTGTGGTAGTAGGTCTGAAGAATGGTGGTCAGAAGGTGTACTCACTGTGGTAGTAGGGTGGTCAGTGGTAGTAGGTGTACTCACTGTGGTAGTAGGGTGGTCTGAAGGTGTACTCACTGTGGTAGTAGGTGGTCTGAAGGTGTACTCACTATGTGTAGTGGTCTGAGGTACTCACTGTGGTCAGAAGGTGTACTCACTGTGGTAGTAGGTGGTCTGAAGGTGTACTCACTGTGGTAGTAGGGTGGTCTGAAGGTGTACTCACTGTGGTAGTAGGATGGTCTGAAGGTGTACTCACTATGGTAGTAGGGTGGTCTGAAGGTGTACTCACTGTGGTAGTAGGTGGTCTGAAGGTGTACTCACTGTGGTAGTAGGTGGTCTGAAGGTGTACTCACTGTGGTAGTAGGGTGGTCTGAAGGTGTACTCAGTAGGGTGGTCTGAGGTGTACTCACTGTGGTAGTAGGTGGTCTGAAGGTGTACTCACTGTGGTAGTAGGGTGGTCTGAAAGGTGTACTCACTGTGGTAGTAGGTCAGAAGGCGGTCTGAAGGTGTACTCACTGGTAGTAGGGTGGTCTGAAGGTGTACACACTATGGTAGTAGGGTCTGAAGGTGTACACACTATGGTAGGGTGGTCTGAAGGTGTACTCACTGTGGTAGTAGGGTGGTCTGAAGGTGTACACACTATGGTAGTAGAGGTGGTCTGAAGGTGTACTCACTGTGGTAGTAGGGTGGTCTGAAGGTGTACTCACTGTGGTAGTAGGGTGGTCTGAAGGTGTACTCACTATGGTAGTAGGGTGGTCTGAAGGTGTACTCACTGTGGTAGTAGGGTGGTCTGAAGGTGTACTCACTATGGTAGTAGGGTGGTCTGAAGGTGTACTCACTATGGTAGTAGTCTGGGTGGTCTGAAGGTGTACTCACTATGGTAGTAGAGGGTGGTCTGAAGGTGTACTCACTGTGGTAGTAGGGTGGTCTGAAGGTGTGTACACACTATGGTAGTAGGGTGGTCTGAAGGTGTACTCACTGTGGTAGTAGGGTGGTCTGAAGGTGTACTCACTATGGTAGTAGGGTGGTCTGAAGGTGTACTCACTGTGTGGTAGTAGGGGTGGTCTGAAGGTGTACTCACTATGGTAGTAGGGTGGTCTGAAGGTGTACTCACTATGGTAGTAGGGTGGTCTGAATGTGTACTCACTGTGGTAGTGGGTGGTCAGAAGGTGTACACACTATGGTAGTAGGGTGGTCTGAAGGTGTACTCACTGTGGTAGTAGGGTGGTCTGAAGGTGTACTCACTGTGGTAGTAGGGTGGTCAGAAGGTGTACTCACTGTGGTAGTAGGTGGTCAGAAGGTGTACTCACTGTGGTAGTAGGTGGTCAGAAGGTGTACACACTATGGTAGTAGGGATTGGTTTGAAGGTGTACTCACTATGGTAGTAGGGTGGTCTGAAGGTGTACTCACTGTGGTAGTAGATTGGTCTGAGGTGGTCTGAAGGTGTACTCACTGTGGTAGTAGGGTGGTCTGAAGGTGTACTCACTGTGGTAGTAGGTGGTCTGAAGGTGTACTCACTGTGGTAGTAGGTGGTCAGAAGGTGTACTCACTGTGGTAGTAGGTGGTCTGAAGGTGTACTCACTGTGGTAGTAGGGTGGTCTGAAGGTGTACTCACTGTGGTAGTAGGGTGGTCTGAAGGTGTACTCACTATGGTAGTAGGGTGGTTTGTAGACTCATTGGTAGTAGGTGGTCTGAAGGTGTACTCACTGTGGTAGTAGGTGGTGGTCTGTGGTAGTAGGGTGGTCTGACTCACTGTGGTAGTAGGGTGGTCTGAAGGTGTACTCACTATGGTAGTAGGTGGTCAGAAGGTGTACTCACTGTGGTAGTAGGGTGGTCTGAAGGTGTACTCACTATGGTACAGAAGGTGTACTCACTGTGGTAGTAGAGTAAGGTGTACTCACTGGGTCTAGAAGGTGTACTCACTGTGGTAGTAGAGGGTGGTCTGAAGGTGTACTCACTGTGGTAGTAGGAGTGGTCAGAAGGTGTACTCACTGTGGTAGTAGGTGGTCTGAAGGTGTACTCACTGTGGTAGTAGGTGGTGGTAGTGGTAGTAGGGTGGTCTGAAGGTGTACTCACTGTGGTAGTAGGTGGTCTGAAGGTGTACTCACTGTGGTAGTAGGTGGTCTGAAGGTGTACTCACTGTGGTAGTAGGTGGTCTGAAGGTGTACTCACTGTGGTAGTAGGGTGGTCTGAAGGTGTACTCACTGTGGTAGTAGGGTGGTCTGAAGGTGTACTCACTGTGGTAGTAGGGTGGTCTGAAGGTGTGCTCACTGTACTGACCAAGCGTACTCACTGTGGTAGTAGGGTGGTTGGTCTGAAGGTGTACACACTGATGGTAGTAGGGTGGTGTGAGCACTGTGAAGATGGAGGGATCCTGCAGACAGTCAGGGGACACAGCTGTACATGTCAGTAGAGACTGTCTTCAGGAACAGACTGACCTCAGGTCATGAAGGAGCAAGCATACACTCCGAAACGTTGTGTTTTTCACAATAAGAAGTTGACATCCATAAATCTTGCTTTTCTTGTGCATTCATCTTCTAAATGCCCTTCAAAGACTTGTCCAATCTTTTATTTGGACTTATTAGTAGAGCCTCTGGCTATGAGTGACCATTTCACAATTTACATTGTTTTGTTATTTTTGTTTGTTTCCTAATGGGACATATGTTATCAATTTATCATAAAGGCCAAAGTCTTATAAATTTTATAGGACTGTATAATGACATTCTAGTCAAGGATCTCAGTTATTGGAGGTCACATGAGATTTTAAGCTCAAGTAGTTCACCTAAATCATGTTTTTGTTTCAGTTTGCAACAGTTCATGTTAACAGATGTTATACATGAGTTGAATCTGAATAAATCTATGACATACAGTTACAATTACATTCTGCGTTGAAGTGCATTCTGTTGAAGCAAACAACACTGACCATGAAAATCATGTTATACTATTGCCTTTATCATATGTACGCAAAATGTTGTTGTAATACAGTAGTTCAATTAAACATTATACATTAATGATGTATCATTCTATTTATCTGTAAACCACTGGCATGTTGCCATACACAATGGGGACGGGAAGCCTGAAAGTATGGTGTAACAGCAACTAAGAAGATGATGTCACACACAGAGAGCTATTATGAATTCTTGATGTACGCACTTGGACAGAAACCTTCCAGTCAATATATCACAATATGTATTGCAATATATCACAATATGAGAATCAGGGCGATATCCAGCCCTAGTAATGAGTTGAGATACTTACAGCATGATCATAGGCAACTGCATTTATCACCATAAACTTGGACAGGTCATATTTGTAGGGAGCATAGTTTCCATGCCAGGCAACAACATCAAATGGTGAATGTTTCTGAAAAAAGGACAGACAATTTATCAAACCTATATGCAAAAGTGGCATTAGGGTTCATACTGAGACATTCACCAGTGTGTTTCAGACATTCACCAGTGTGTTTCGGACATTCACCAGTGTGTTTCAGACCTTCACCAGTGTGTTTCAGACCTTCACCAGTGTGTTTCAGATATTCACCAGTGTGTTTCAGACATTAACCAGCCTCAGCTACCTGTATTCATGACCACTAACCCAATGTTATTATATTTCACAGTTCTATTTTTGAAAGTCTTCATATGAAATTTAGGGTCACAGGTGGCTGGTTGTCTAAGCCAATACAAAAGAGCAGAGTTGCTTCCCTGCAGTACACTAAGACCTGATCATGGCCTGAATCCTGGATTGCCCTGGTTATGTTTCTAGCTTTGTCAGCACTACACCCAGGCCTCACTGAAGTGGTAAATGTTGGCTTTAATCATATACGGTCAAAATACCATCTGAAACTGGAACACATGATTTGATGATTAACATACATATGACTGATCTGAATTCATGATGAATACACGACTACTAAGTCAGACTGATCTCGCAGCCACTATGGTTAAATCACCAGTGTAACCAGCCAAGTTTGATCATTCATAACTGGATTAAATGTGGAATAGTTTATATTAAAGATATTTGTAACGACCACGCATTTCTAACATTTGCAGAACTTAAGGCAAAATTTGGTATTAAAGGTACTGTACTTGACTTTAATTGTGTTCTCCTTAGTATACCCAAACAGTGGAAAGAAGTTATACGAACAAATAATTTTAATATACCGTCGTTATCTATGTGCTCTCCTTGGAACGATTTGATTAAACCTAGTAAAGGTTCAAGGATATTCTATGATAATTTTATATCTGACTATAACATTCCGAAGGTGTGTCTCAAATGGAACGGGGAACTAAATGAGTTGATAAATTGGAAAACCATATTTTCACAATATAGACAATGCACTAGACACGAAACTCTTAGATTTTCAATATAAGTTTTTGCATAGTTTCATTTACACTAAACGAGAATTACTAAAAATGAAATTGATAGATAATGACCTATGTACATTATGTGGTTCAGTAAGTGAGGATATTTACCATGTATACCTTGATTGTCCAACCATCAAAATGTTCTGGTCAGAATTTAACAATTTTATAACTAAAGTCCTTGGTAAAGCGTGATGAAATGTCAAACCATGATATTCTATTTTGTTGCAGTAGTAACCACTTACTCAACCACATGGTACTATTGGCAAAGCCATACATTTTCGTAATGAATATAAAAGGACACAAACCTAGCTTCACCATCTACAGAACATTATTAAAAGATGTCTACGAGATAGAGAAATTTATCGAGAAGAAAAACGATAATATGAAACATTTTTACAGAAAATGGAATGTCCTAGATGCAGTCCTGTAATTTATTTTTTAGTCTTTTAATTCTCTGTAATATTAGCTAGCATCTCAATTGTTAATCTATATTCCCAGTACCATATGTTATACATTGTCTGCTTTCTATTATGTAACCTGTACCATTCTACTCTACCCACATATCTTGTTCAAATGTAACCAAGTAAAGTGAATAAAAATACTTTACAAAAAAAAAAAGTCAGGCTGATCTGTGAACACAAACAGAACTACTACAAGATATTAGTAACAAACATATGTCAGGCTGATTACAAATCATCATTAAAAAGCTACCATTATACAGAGATCTGTTGAAATCCCATTCCGGTCCTTGTTAGAATGACCTTTCATCTGACCAATCAGAGCCTTGCTCACCAGAATAGGAAAGTGACAGTTGGAATGAGTTTTCAAATCATGCAGCCTTAAACTATTGCTATCAAACATTTGATCAGAAAAATCTTTCCATAAGCCATGGGAAGTATTGGAAGTATACAATCTCAGCCATCTAGTACAAATTCTGTAATGCTCTTTTCTTCAGTTTTGGAATTTTGAAAAATTTGCCAAAATATATTTGAGGGTGTAGTCTGAAATGAAAGTCACAAGTTTGAAAGTAGTGTCATATAGCTCGAGAAAACTGTTTCTCTCTGGTTAATACTGACTTCTTCTTGACCATTTCATTGGTTGATCCAAGATTTCTCACAGGTTGTTTGTGGTCTTCCAAAGCCAGCATGTAAATCACATCATAGTGGTCCTACTTCCGGGCAGGGATGAGAATGATGTTTTGAGAAAAACTCTGAAAACTAGCCGGGGCCTGGTGGCCGCAGGATTTAGACGATTCACAAAAATGACCTTTGGCCTTATGAAATTCCCGGAATTCTGCGGAAAGTTCTCATCCCTGTGAACAAGTCACTGACAAACTCAACAACATCAAGTTTGTTCTTTGTGATACTACTGTTGTTAATCTTTAGATCTGTAGGATCGAACATGTCAAACACTACACCATCACTTAGCAATTTCTGTGTCCCCTACTGGTGAAGAAGCAACAAACAAAATACCTTGAGACATTCGGGATTTGCTTAAGGGGGCAACTCTTAATTCCATAAACCTGACTTCATACACAGCACTTCCTATATTGTAGACTCTGGGAACAGTTGTGTGTGGTACTCACCTGCTTAGCAGAGAAGAGGTGTCCATGATACTTGCTGATCACAGCGTACTCCTCCACGTCACGGTCCTCATACCAGGCTGCAGGAGTCAGGAAGTCACGGGGGTTCGCCAGTCCGTTAGCTCCTACACACAGTTAGTATAGTGGTGTATGTACAGACAGTTGGAGAGGGGATTCATCACCTGGGTTGGTCAGCCCATGGTGGTGTAGAGCGGGGATTCATCACCTGGGTTGGTCAGCCCATGGTGGTGTAGAGTGGGGATTCATCACCTGGGTTGGTCAGCCCATGGTGGTGTAGAGCAGGGATTCATCACCTGGGTTGGTCAGCCCATGGTGGTGTAGAGTGGGGATTCATCACCTGGGTTGGTCAGCCCATGGTGGTGTAGAGCATCACCTGGGTTGGGATTCATCACCTGGGTTGGTCAGCCCATGGTGGTGTAGAGCATCACCTGGGTTGGTCATTCATCACCTGGGTTGGTCAGGGTGGTGGAGTCAGCCCATGGTGGTGGTGGAGAGCAGGGATTCATCACCTGGGTTGGTCAGCCCATGGTGGTGTAGAGCGGGATTCATCACCTGGGTTGGTCAGCCCATGGTGGTGTAGAGCGGGGATTCATCACCTGGGTTGGTCAGCCCATGGTGGTGTAGAGCGGGGATTCATCACCTGGGTTGGTCAGCCCATGGTGGTGTAGAGCAGGGGATTCATCACCTGGGTTGGTCAGCCCATGGTGGTGGGAATAGAGTGGGTGATTCATCACCTGGGTTGGTCAGCCCATGGTGGTGTAGAGCGGGGATTCATCACCTGGGTTGGTCAGCCCATGGTGGTGTAGAGTGGGGATTCATCACCTGGGTTGGTCAGCCCATGGTGGTGTAGAGCGGGGATTCATCACCTGGGTTGGTCAGCCCATGGTGGTGTGTAGAGTGGGGATTCATCATCTGGGTTGGTCAGCCCATGGTGGTGTAGAGCGGGGATTCATCACCTGGGTTGGTCAGCCCATGGTGGTGGAGAGTGGGGATTCATCACCTGGGTTGGTCAGCCCATGGTGGTGGAGAGTGGGGATTCATCACCTGGGTTGGTCAGCCCATGGTGGTGTAGAGCGGGGATTCATCACCTGGGTTGGTCAGCCCATGGTGGAGGAGGGGTTGGTCAGAAGGAAGGTGGTGAGAAGGATGAGGGAGGAGAGAGAGGAGAGGGGAGAGGGAGGGAGAGAGGGGAGAGAAGGGGAGAGAGAAGGGGAGGGGGAGAGGAGGTGTTGGTGTTGGGGTAGTAGATCAACTGGGTTAGACCTTATTGATATCTAATCCTTCATATTGCATGAAATTACACATATTCTGTATAAAACATACAGCTTCTGTTCAGCATAAAGAGTATAAACTATATAAACTCCAGACAATAGAGCATCCATGTTGAACCCCCAAGACATGCCTTGACCAGATGTTGAGTAAACTGGCCCTTATTCACATTTACCTTTGCCAGCATGGTTTTATAGTTGCTTGATATTAATGTCGGTCAGAAGTAAAATGGCATTGTCCCGAAGATTGCATTACATCACCATCCCGGTCAATAAAACAGTTAAGAGCCATGAACCCACCGATTGGTCCTAGGTTAGGCAGCACAAAGTGGTCATTGAAGACCTCCAACATGTAGCCTCGTGTGTCCCCTGTCACAGCCACGTTGAACCGAATACCTCGCTGTCAGCAAGAGAAAGGAGCCATATACTATTCATGGGCAAACTCACTATATGACAACTTCCATACTTTCATAAGCCATGAAGAGTAGAAGTGCAAGATGGAAGTTTCAAAATGGATGTAACAACCACCATATTGAAAAACAGATCAGGAACATTACCAGTCATTACTAAGTGAGACCAATGGTTGGATATTCATCAGACATGAAGCTTCTTAGGCCTTGCAGATATTCAGATGAGATATCACTAAATTTAAGGGAAAATGTATCTTCAATGGACTACTGTAGAAACTGAAACAAACAGCTCAAATGTGAGATACACATGCACACACACGTTGGTCCCACTACATACACCATTTCACATAGATACTAACATACAGGACTATCAAATGGTGCAACAGGATTTCCAATAAATTTGTTTTGTTGAATCAACTAACCTGAATCACACAGATTTCATTGGGGTCGACCTTCATACGTCCAAACTCTGTTGTTATGAACAAACCACCCTGTTGGGGAACTGTAAAGATGGAAGTCACTAAATCAGTAAGAGGCACTACATTCAGCAAGTTGTAACTTTATAATGATACTGTCAGTGTTTGTTTACAGTGTCAACACATACACTGGAACAAATACTTGCACTAGCCTCTATATGATACTATATCTGTCCATTCCTTAATAAATCTACCCGATAGAATTGACCATGATGAATCCTTACACACAGATCATATACAGTTCGTACCAGGTTCTCACACAGCTAACGCAGGTCTCAAACAGTTCACACCCAGTTCTCACACTATGGGAATAAGTATAAAACAGACGGTATAAATAAAACAGGTGAAATTTGTCTCCCAAACTAAAAGTCCTCCACAGGGGAAATCCCTTTAGTGTGACAAAACCAGTGTTTGATCTAGGGCTGGGACAGGTAATCCAGGTACCCGGGACGGGCGGGTAATGAGTTGGACCCGGGTACCCGACACGTTACCCTGACCCGCTTTGATCACGTGACTAATAAATGAAGTCTTAATGGAATGTGTTTATACTTATTATATACTATCCCAAAACAGAAACGCATAGGCATTTTGTATTTTTTATAATCTATTAATTACCTATTGTGTTCAAACAATGTTATTGATAACATGATTTTGCACAATTGCACAATTAAAAAAATCGACTTTACCTGTAAATGTTGATTTTGATGAGATTTCTTACAAGGATTAAAAACGCATCGCCACAACACAACAAAAATCACCTTCCAGTTGAAATTGTGTAGCCAAGAGCATGCACTGATCTGGCTATAAACATCCAGATTACTTTCGGAAATCGGCATTGGTTTTGAAGGAGTTTCAAGGTCAAATCACTACGCCACGTATTGACGCTGTGACACGGAACATCGCCATTGAAAGAATGCACGCTGGAGATTACCAATCTTCTGTTGCCAGGCGTCTGAATGTTAGTCTGAGCACAATATCATGGCTTGCAGCTCGTTACATCCAAACAGGTATAACAAAATTAATTACCATCCCCGTACAGGCAGACCTCGAGTCACCACTGCAGTCCAAGAATGGTACATCCGTGTACTACATTTGCGTGATCGTAGTGCCACGGGTGAGAGTACAGCAACCAGGGTGCCTGGAGTCGGAGGATATCCAGTCAAACTGTATAGAACAGGTTGAGAGAGATTGGACTGAAAGCCAGGAGACCTGACGTTGGGACCATGTTACGTGGTCACCATTGCTCTCAACGTCTCCGTTATCTAAAATTATCCACTTTGTTGTATAGACATTACCTTCTTCTAAACTGATGTAAAAATTCATTTCTTAAATTTGTGGACGAGTTACACGTTTGAAAATACAACATGTTTGTAACAGATTTCTGGGTTATGCGTTTCTTTTTTGGAATAGTATATTTTAATGTACATATGGTGAGATGTAAATAAGCAATCTGTCTGTCTGACTATTGTGATTGGATTATGAATCGACGGGAGAGGGAGAGAGGTATTTACTTTGAAAAATTTATGTTTACATTACATTGTGTACTTGTTAGTTTAATGGTATACACTTTTTATTTATACCTTCAGTTGTATTTTGTCTGTAGATTGGAACGGCATTTGTTTGTAGCTCCTGGTTTGTTACGGAGGGATGTTTGTTGTTCAGATGTTTCCACATCGATTATGTACTCCCTTCTTTCTGACCTAGCTGCACTGTGCACAAAGTGCATTTTGTCTTTGTGCCTGATGCGAGTATTCAAAATATTTCCAGATGCCACTCTTAATCTCGGCCATAACTGATTTTAGTGAAGGGGAATAACTCGCAATTAGTGTTATAACGGGTACCCGGGTCGGGTCAGGGAATAGGGGGTCGGGTACCGGGTAGGAAATTTGGCGATATGACTTCACCCAAGCTTAGTCAGTCAACAGTGGATAAAAGGGGGGCATCTCAATTATATCTCAAAACATATCCCTCACAAAACATACTCGCCTAACTTATCAATATAATATCAATGAGTAGGTCGACTTATTCATCACTTAGTATTTTGAGGGCTAGAAACAGACGTAAGGACAAGATATTCCTTTTCTTCTATGAGGGGATGGCACTAATATCAGGTGTCATATTTTCATGCAAGCCAAACAATACATCACTGAGCAGTGGGTTGAAGCCAAGAAATCACCTCGAGAAGTCTCATCCAGATCTTAATAGATTCACTAAAATACTGTGGTCACAATCCAGGTGGTTTGATGGCACCCAAGAAGAATCGGAACCAAGACCACACACATGAGAGGGAAGAGAGATCAAAACCAGTAAATGATTGTTACAATGGTTTTACTTTTAGTTGGACTGTGACTTTATTAATATTCTGCTCTATACAGGCCATTCAGGTGCAGACAGGACACACATGGTTCACACACAAATAATACTGACTCAGTTCTCAGGCAGGTCTGACTCAGTTCTCAGGCAGGTCTGACTCAGTTCTCAGGCAGGTCTGACTCAGTTCTCGCATGGGTTACTCAGTTCTCACATAAGTTACTCAGTTCACACATGGGTTACTCAGTTCACACATGGGTTACTCACATATGCCACCCCACACGTTAAATTTCGGACTGTACTTTGGGCGCTGATATGAAGTTTTTTCAGTTTGTTTGGTCCAGAATTTCAGTGTATTAGGAAACAGCCACACAGAACTTTCATCTGAGAAAATCACATTGGCCCAGTTAAAATTTCTATGCTGTAAGCACCTGTTCAACCTTCGCTCCTTTTGTTCAGGTTTCATGATCGGTGATGGAATTCCTCAACTTTTCTGCCAACCCATTGCATGCAGCTCAGTTCTAATTGTCTCCTTACAGATAGCCACAGTTCCTCTATCAATCATATCCAGCCTTAAGTTTTCTAAACTCCTTCATTTGTTTTTAGAAACAAGAATACCAAGCTTCCTCCTGTCACCGACAGTCATTTTTCTGGGCCTAGCTGCGCCTCCCTGGTGCTCAATGCCATATCCATTTGGACAAAGGGATGCCTTTTCTACTTGAAATCACTTTAGCTGATCTGATGTCCTTGTTATAATACTCTTAAATCAACTTCCCCTTCTCTAAATCATCCATACTGAGGATCACTGAAAATGCCGTCTGCTGGCAAGTAAACAAAAGGGGATAACTCTTCACAAATTAATGAAAAAGGATTAACAGAGTTGTCTCTTTTGAATGAAACCAAGCACTTGATAGCTGGTCAAGGTTGTTTATACTAGAAATCCAATTAAACATATTCCTAAAATTCTCAATAATTTCTTGTCATACTATACATATGGAAAGTCCTAAGTAAATGTATAATTTATGTGACATGCATAACAAGAGTTAATAGAATCGATATTCCTACCTATGAGAAAATCACCGTCTGAAGAGTAGAAGCACCTGGAGAAAATAATATCATGAAATTACATGAAGAGTGAGAGAAAGAAAGTAGTTTGTAAAGGTTTCATCTTCTGCACAACAATGTAAAGAACAGAGTAAAACACCTGTACAACAATGGAAGGTCCAGAGTAAAAAACCTGTACAACAATGTAAAGTACAGAGTAAAACACCTGTACAACAATGTAAAGTACAGAGTAAAATACCTGTACAACAATGTAAAGTACAGAGTAAAACACCTATAAAACAATGTAAAGTACAGAGTAAAACACCTGTGAAACAATGTAAAGTACAGAGTAAAACACCTATAAAACAATGTAAAGTACAGAGTAAACACCTGTACAACAATGTAAAGTACAGAGTAAAATACCTGTACAACAATGGAAGGTCCAGAGTAAAACACCTGTACAACAATGTAAGGTCAGAGTAAAATACCTGTACAACAATGTAAAGTACAGAGTAAAACACCTGTACAACAATGTAAAGTACAGAGTAAAACACCTGTACAACAATGTAAAGTACAGAGTAAAACACCTGTACAACAATGGAAGGTCCAGAGTAAAACACCTGTACAACAATGGAAGGTCCAGAGTAAAACACCTGTACAACAATGTAAAGTACAGAGTAAAACACCTGTACAACAATGTAAAGTACAGAGTAAAACACCTGTACAACAATGTAAAGTACAGAGTAAAATACCTGTACAACAATGTAAAGTACAGAGTAAAACACCTGTACAACAATGTAAAGTACAGAGTAAAACACCTGTACAACAATGTAAAGTACAGAGTAAAACACCAGTACAACAATGGAACGTACAGAGTAAAACACCTGTACAACAATGTAAAGTACAGAGTAAAACACCTGTACAACAATGTAAAGTACAGAGTAAAACACCTGTACAACAATGTAAAGTACAGAGTAAAACACCTGTACAACAATGTAAAGTACAGAGTAAAACACCTGCACAACAATGTAAAGTACAGAGTAAAATACCTGTACAACAATGTAAAGTACAGAGTAAAACACCTGTACAACAATGTAAAGTACAGAGTAAAATACCTGTACAACAATGTAAAGTACAGAGTAAAACACCTGTACAACAATGTAAAGTACAGAGTAAAACACCTGTACAACAATGTAAAGTACAGAGTAAAACACCTGTACAACAATGGAAGGTCCAGAGTAAAACACCTGTACAACAATGGAAGGTCCACAGTAAAACACCTGTACAACAATGTAAAGTACAGAGTAAAATACCTGTACAACAATGTAAAGTACAGAGTAAACACCTGTACAACAACGTAAAGTACAGAGTAAAATAGTAGTATATACAGTGAGGCTGAAGATTGGCTGGCACTAAGTGGAAAGTCAGCCCTTACTTGTCTTCCATGGAGGTGTTACAGACGTAGATATAGATGGCCATCCCACTCCGGCACTTTGGATCGCCTGCACCACACACCGTGGACAACCCCTACACCAACACAAACAACAGCATCACCGACAACATACATGGAACTGGTATCATTTAACTAGAGCCTACGATGTAAAAACTTATGTGTCATAAATTCATAAATATGCAAATAAGATACAGCAAAAGCTATACTGTTTTCACACATACAGATGAACTGGTGTTTCTACAAACAACTAAGCATGATGAATTCTTACAGACTGACGGCACGTAGAAGTTCACTCTCATACAGTCTGCTGACCACATAGCTATGACTGTTGATGACTTTCAGTCTGCCAAAATCTCACCATATATCATTTATCAGAAATCAAGAAAGTACCATCCAATCACACCACAGATATGAAGAATGAGTTGTTATTCTTATTATTTCCATCATACACTTGTATCTATCTGTCGATCATTTCTCTCTTGAAAAGTTCCAAGAGCTTATTCTTTGGCAAATGGATTTTCACAAGAACATTTCCAGGGTTACTTGTTTGTCTGTATACCACCCACCCTCCAGTACAGTGATGACTTACGATGTCGACTGCTAGGAACACTGGTTTGGAGAGTGCACATTGTCATGGAAACAATTATCTCATCATATATGTAGAGTAAGATATCAACAATTTTGGTGTATGTTTCACTATGCCAGGGAATGAATAATGCACATGAGTGGATAACGTAACCCCTAAGATTTCAACAAATTTGGTAGATTTGTCGCTAATTGGGGAAAACTTTATGTATCAAAATTTGGGAAATATCAGAAGAGTCTTTGGTCTTAAAAGATCCATTTCATATGCTCGCTTTGATGATGGGCTTAGAGATATATTAATGACAAAAATCATGAAAATTACCTGCACAAAGTCTGTTTTTTCTTGTGGGATGTCAAAAGGATGCCATCGTAACTGAAATATAATTCTGACAGTCAGAGATCTGCTATATGTGAGACAGACAGACAGACAGACAAGACAGACCAACAGTGAAATGGGCCCATCAATTAAAGCATATCACAGTAAGTATTTACCTGGTTCGGGTTGGGTTCCACACGGTCCCAGTCATGTGTCAGATTACCTCGTCCTGTCTTCACAAAGGGTTCATGCAACACCGATGGTCGAATGCGATACAGCCAACTGGAACAAAATCACGATTTATGTAAGCCGTGCATCTGTACAGTATGAGAATGACTGAAAAGTGGGGTAATTCTGAAGGAGTGATGACATCATACTAACCTGCTGTGTTTCAAAGTTCACCTTGAAAGTTTTTAGTTCAGCATTGTCTACTTTAAGAGAAGATCCTTTTGGCATTATCTTCAGAAGTAAATACATCAGACTACTCAATGTCCTAATACTTTACAAACATTTCAATGCAGAAAGCTGGAGTGGAACCAAACATCCAGACAACATCCAGTTTGGTGGACAACATTACCTGCGCTGGTTCTCCTCCCGTGGTGCAGTGAAGGCTGTTCCAGACAACTGTTCAGCATACAGGCCATAGGCACATTTCTGGGGGTTGTTCTGTGAGAAAGTATCTAGTACTTAGACTTTTACATGGCATTACACACATCAAAGGAAGTAGCGATCAGTTTTTCAGTACACTGAGTTCACCCATTCAAAGTTATGTTTTCACTAGCCCAGTGCTTTCTTTGGAGATGTGCATGCAAGTAGTATCAAATCACAGACATTAACAAGGACATAAAATAGCGAAATATTTCAAAATTGTTTATGGTTTAATAGTTCATGATACTGTTTGGTACATCAGATGTGTTAAGTGTATTTACAACAGCATCAAGGATTATTCGTCCTACTCTTGTCAGATAACACATTATCGGTTGGGAAGTCAAATCATTGGTCACAACATTATAATCTGAACTACTCACAGTAACTCTAGCACCATTAACAATGATAAGTAGCTGAAAATGACAGTCAAGTTATCGTTCAATGTAACAGCCCTACCACACTCCTGCAGCTGTCTAGTACAGCTGGGATATTTGTAATCTGGCACAACGAGCTTCCCAAACAAAGCACACCGAGCGTATTTTCTGTACCTCGCTGGCACCAAGTGATGCCCACCAACATGTCCACTACAGACAGGTGACTCACCACAGGTCAAAGGGTGCATATGCCTTAACACAATCACTGTCACTCTCTGCTTCCATACTTTATAGACATGGGCTGATTTGGTTCAAAGAAAATGTTGTAAACAAAATCACCATTTAACATGTTTGAAGTAGTAGGTTCTATGTGTTGCTATACTGACTGATGTTTCATAGAGCAGATTTCGACTGACTCTCTGTTAAGGAGGGCTCTGGAGTACTACTTGCTGGACCCAGCAACATAGAGGGTTCTGTGCCACTGTGGTGGTACTGCCCATGTCTTAACTGCCTCAATGAATGATGGATTATCAACCATAGCCTGCCACGTGAGGCCCAGCTTCCAGTATCTACAAGCAAATGTCATGGAGTCACTACTGACACAGTTGTGACAAACATGCAGCTTACTGCTTACATATCATGTACTCCTCTTACCTCAAACTTACATATCATGTACTCCTCTTACCTCAAACTTACATATCATGTACTCCTCTTACCTCAAACTTACAACTCAACAATATCAAAGCTATATGGCAGGGGTCTGTAAATAATCGAGTCTGGACCAGACTATCCAGTGATTAACAGCATGAGCATCAATCTACACAATTGGGATACAGTGCCATGTGTCAACAAGTTAGCGAGCCTGACCACTCAAGCCTGTTAGTTGCCTTTTCCGACAAGCATGGTTTGCTAAAGACCACTTCCAACCCAGATATTCACGGGTGTGTCAGTTTATGAACAATTAGAGATGGTACAGGTATCTATGTGACATGGCAGTTGTTATCTTTACATGATGTTTACAGGGTGAGAATGCCTGTAAATAAAATTCCCCCACCTTATGTATTAGCATGTTTGGAGCTGCAAAGTAATTTATACATTTATAGTTTTGACATGTAACATGATTAGCTATACAGTGTTCAGCCATCTGAACATATTATATGTTGTCCCTGTATCTGTGTTTTTATAGCCTATGTTATCATGGTGTCAAGTAATCTCTCTGATGTAGCATATATTTATGTGAATATTTCGTCATTATCTGTGAATGGTAATTTGAGATGGTAACAGTGATCTCTTTATCTAAATATGTCGTCATATCATATATGATATGTATTATGTTTCAGCATGATGTGTGATTTCAGAAACTGTCAAGTGCAGCAGTGTCCTTTAGCAATTGACTTGCCTCACAAACTTAACTCTCCCTCTCTCTCTCTCTCTCTCTCACCCACAACCCCATAGCTCCTTCAAAGTGGGGAGAACATGGTTTTACAACTGATTGTTGAGAGTTATCGCTGATTGATCAATGGCTGGCCTCCACATTCTACAATTTGGCCCCTTTCATCCAAAACTCGATTTCTTAGGTCATTGTTCTGTTCAATATTTCACAAATGGCAGATTGATAATTCTGATTTTATAATTATGTTTCCAATATGTTTCTGGTAGTATTTGTCAGTGTCAGGTCATGTGTATATGGTGGAATATATCCTGATGGAAAGAGACCTCAGCAGGTCCTTGGTTATCATGTCCTAAACAACCCTCCTACATTGACAAGGTTCAGCAACAGTTTCATATCAGATTTAGTATATCGGTACATGTAGTAGTTAAATTGACCAACCATCTTTAAGCATGTTTAGAATCACTAAAATGAACTTCCAAACAGAGCACTTATTACATGCAATCTATGGGAACATTTATAGGCATTATGTTGGTGAACAATGTAGAAGTGACCATAGAGATTACTTAATATTGCTGAACTTCAGGGTTTAAAGATGTTTCTGTGACAACTACTTGTTGGCAGATTGGCAAAAAGGTATAAAACTGTGTTGAATACACCAAAATGTAAAAAGTTTGTATCCATCCTATTGGGAGAAGATTCTAACCCACATTCTACAGATCCAGACTTTGTCAAGGATGACATCTTTGAATATTGACAACTATAAATATTTGTCTGATTGTCTTAATATGTGTTGGGATAAAGTAACTGCATTATTTGATGTTATGCCATTTTTTAATACCAAAAAATAATAACATGGTTTGTGGTATTTTCCTTAATCACTGTTTAACTGTTGTCAGGATAATACCAAAATCTGTATGATCTGACACTAGGCATCGTGACACGCCCTTGAAGAGATGTGGTGTCAAACGTCAGTTCATAAATTCAGTATTGTGTGTGTCCACCATTGGCCTTGACACAAAGCGGCTGTTGAAAGCTTGTTGCTCCATGTCTGAACCAACGCTTGTCCCAATTCAGCTAATGTCAATGGCTGATTGTGGGCTTGATGTAAAGCTTGCTCCATTTCATCCCATGCATGCTCGGGGTGTACCTGAAATTTCCGTTGTCTCAGGAAATCTGTCACAACATGAACAACATGTGGACAGGTATTATCTTGCTGAAGAGTGAAGTTACTTCTGTTCACCCTTGCCCTGCCATCTGAGCTGTCCAGATGAAATCTCAACTCATCAGTGAACAAAACACCATCCCAATCTTGTCTCCTGTACCATACATGCTGTCTGCACTAGGCAAGACACGCCTGTTGGTGACATAGGAGCAAACTTGGACGTATTGCAGGACAGAAGCCAGGAATGGTCCAAGCAGTCAAACTGGCTGTCTGGCATTGATTCCGAAGATGGGTCAGCCGAATGTGGTTGTCTTGCTGATGTGACATTACGCGTGGACCACCGGTCAGAGGCAACATTCTCATGTTCCCATTTCCATAGAGATGACATGGTGTTTCTATGGACACCAAAATGTCTGGCTACTTCATTTTGGGTCATTCCAGTCTCTAGCATACCCACGGCGCAGAAACGCTGTAACCTGTGGCATGACATATGCACAGTTTAGGTTGAAATTAACATGTCTTCCACAGCATTCAGAGGCTAGAGAATAATCAACCATTTTCCAATATCAGGTGTGTGAACTTCAGGTGTCAAAACGTTTGCAAAAGGCGAGTCCGTTCATTGTTCATTGTAAAAAGTGCACGGGCCATGTGTGAAACGTGACATCAAATGTCTTTGCTAAATGTTTATTCAGGGTTATTTTCATAACTTTTCAAATATCTTTTATTTTACGCAATTTAATGTTATGCACAGTTACTATTTTCTGTTAGTATATATTGGGGCACAAGTAATAACAAGAAAAATCTGTGAGGGCGGCAGACTTGATTTATGTTCGGCACTTAATTTGGATATATTAACTGGATTTGAACATATTAAATGGATACATCCCTTGGTGACTTCACTTGATCATATTCAACTTTATTATTGTCATGGCTTTCTGCTGGATATATTTTTGTTTTGCAGTCTGTACACTACACACCTGAAATAACATGAGATTGAACAAAACATTCAGATCTGAAATTATGATCAACTCATCTTCCCAAACTAGAGGCTTTGAGTGAAGTTATGTCATCTGTATCCATCATAGACTTGCCACATTTTCAAAACAGGTACAGTGAAACCTGCCAAAACTGGCACCTGTCTAATCTGTCACACTGTCAAAACTGGCATAAATGTTTGGTACCGCCATTTTACAACGATATTATGATCATTAAAACATTGTCTAATCCAGCATCTGTCTATTCCGTATTCTGCCATGACTTTCCAGTCCTAACACACAATTTTAACAATTTTGACTGTAATTAAAACTCGAAGCCAACATGGGTATGAGCAGTCCAATCAAGGACCCATAATCCAATACACTAATTAATCCTCTTGGCACGCTAAATAATCGGGAAGATCCAAATAACCACAGAGGAATATCTCTTTTAAGCACTTTTAGCAAGCTGTAGACATCCACACTCAGCAATAAGTTGTCATTTTCTCCCAAATCATACAAGAAGATTGTAGAGTCTCAGGTTGGTTTTAGGATAGGTACAACAACAGTTCACATGTTTATATTTCAGTCTGTTGTTCAACGCCTGTCAAGCAAGCAAGGTAAACCGTGCACAATATTTGTTGACTTTAGAGTCCTAATCATGGTACATTTTTAAAATGATGAATGCTCTGAGATCAATATATAGTTGTGTGAAAGGTGGTGTTAGAGACAATAATTACCTCACAGATGTATTCAACTGCCCACTTGGCCTTAGGTAGTGGTAAGAGCGTCCACCCGGAGAGCGGAAGGTCACCGGTTTGATCCCCGACCGCGTCATACCAAACGACATTAAAATATGGTACTTGTTGGTCCTTGCCTGGCGCTCGGCATTAATGGGTACAACAAGGACTGGTCGGCTCGGAGTCAGTATAATGTGTCTGAGTGGGTTATTCACTTCACTGCAGCATGGTATCTCAGTGAGCTAGCACTATAAAACCAGCTTCAGTCTGGGCTAGTACAAGCAGCCGCACATACAGATACACACGCATGCACGTCATCATATGAGCGAAATATTCTCAAGCATGACTTAAAACCCAATCTCACCTCACCCCTTAGTTAAGGGTGTGTACTTAGTATTTAGCATTGTCACTTTCTAATAATGAATTAGCTTTAGAAGTTGAATTGTCATTTGCATGTTGTCATGGGTTTGGCTACATTTGGCAGCAGTAGTGTGTAAATAATGTTTCAAATATTTTGTCGGAATCTTATTTTAGACTTACTTGTTAATATGAACATGTTCATGCAACTCTGGTATCAAGCTCTATCACATATTCACTTCAAAACCTCAGTTGGTCTAGAACTTACTAAAAAAGAGTTGTCCATCTCCAAATTTAGGATTGCACTTACTCAATGAGATGCTCATACAGCTCAGAATAGAGACTGGCAGGTATAATAAACATCCTAAATAGATAGATTGTGCTTAATCTGTAAACATAATTATATTGAGGATGAATATCACTTTATTTTAGTATGTAATATACATAACAATCTCAGATACAAACACATGTATATACCCGGAAAATTTCATGTAAATCCATCTCAACATAAGCTTAACATGTTAATGTCTACAGTGAATGTACCTGCTCTGTAAACTTAGCCACCTGTATATACAAAGCTCTGCATCATAAGATCTATGTGTATATGAACAAGGGCCGTGGGGTAGTCTAGTGGTTAAAGCGTTGGTTCGTCACGCCCAAGACCCGGGTTCGAATCCCCACATGGGTACAATGAGTGAAGCCCATTTCTGGTGTCCCCCGCCGCGATATTGCTGGAATATTGCTAACAGCGGAGTAAAACCAAACTAAGTCAGTCAGTCAGTATATGAACAACTTGTTATATGTATAAATCTCGCCCACTTTGATGTAGCATTGGCCTATGGCCTACACTAACTTACTGAATATATATCGAATATGTAAGTTTTCTATATACAGAATTAAGATAAAGTTCTTTTTCCACTTTCCAGTATTTTACAGTTGTTGGCAGCTATCAACCAAACTGTCTTTAAAGTCTCCCCTACTAACACTAGTGATAATTCCAGGTATGTCTGTGTGTGACGTGCAACTATACCATACCTGTCCTTCAGGCAGCGCTCCAGGGCAACGGGGATCCTCTGTGGCAAACTCATTGCCAAATCCAGACATGTACTGAAACAAAATACCTTTCATAACAGAATACATTTCATCCTGACAAAAAAATTCATAAAAGAAAACATACCAAACATAATCAAATTTTACTTGAACATGAGTTCACATGTGGCCATGTAACTTGACTGATTTCAGGACAACACTACAAAGGGGGTCTTTTAGTTGCTGGCATTGCGTTCTACATAACATATTCTTCTAAAAATGTAACTCCAAATTGATGTTTCCAAACTTGAAAAAAACACACCAAAACAACTATTCTGAAAACCTATGCCAAATGATCAGCATCCCTGATATCACGGGATCAGACATCATGCATGATTACAGCTACTGCAGGTGGTGTATAAGTAGAGCATCCAACTTTGCAAGGGCATCAGAAGACAGCAAATGCTCTTTAATGCTAGAAAAGTACATTTTAATGTCTTTATTTCCAGTATTCCTAGGTGAGGCTCAGAACATATCAATCAAAATTCAAATGTTACATTAATAAATATCTGGGAACACAAGGTCATAGTTCATGGACAATGCTATGGAATGAGTGGGTCCCTTATCCAATAAAAATTCAGGACCAAATTTCTTCAGGCCAAACTTAAACACTCATTGAGAAAGTTCTTGTAGTCTCTTAAATGTTATCTTTTAAACTGAGGATGGAGAGTATTGTGTTTTGAAGAAACATTTTACAATAATGTCAGTGACTCTTACAATGTAAAATGTCATTTCAATGGCTACACTGAAACTGTTTAGACATGGCATATGAAAATATTCTTTGAAATGACATTGTGTTGTGACAGCTTGACAGAATTGTCAGATACTGCCAATTCTGATCATTCTAGAAAGTAAGATTAAATGGATCTAAAACCCTCGCTTTCGAATCTGATAATTAAATAATATAATTTCTCAAATTACATGGAATTTGATAATAAATGCACGTTATGTTTGCGTCAGATTTTGACCTTACGATTAGCATATGCTAATTATCGTTCATAGAGCAACCAATCACATTTCGCCTTAGTGTCACACCCCCAGTACACGTGAGCAGGTGCGCGGTGTATACATTTTGTACGGCTCTTCTGCAGAACATACTGAGTACAGACATTAAGATAAAGACAGTCACATGGCTGTAAATGAATATTACTTAACTATTGATAATAGAAACAAGCGTATGTGACGGGGGCTAGCGTGATCGCTAATTCGATTACACTAAAGGTCAAGGTCACAGAGTGAAAAACATATTTTATTTCCTATTGGTTTTTGCAGTGGCTGGTTGTCAATTTCAAAGGTAACATGAAAGATAACTGCTTATATGAATGTTCAAGAATGCAGAGTTCAAAATATGAAGACATGTCAGACAAAAGAAACACAATGAGAGCTTAAATACAACAAACCTTCAATTCAGAGTCGGACGCCATTTTGCATAAGTAATGATGTCAGAAGAACACAGTGTCCTAATTTATCTTATTAAATATTGTAATAATATTTAATAGTTATCTACGAATCATACACAAATTATTCTTAACACATCTAGGAATAATATTTCAAAAACTATTTTGTGACATATTATGATGACCTCCATGCAAGGGGACGTCACTTGTGGTGCACGATTTTACAAAATATTATTCTGTGTGAAGTTTAATAATATTTTATCTCAAAAAGACACTTTATGCCTCCAGAGTGTGCTAAACCTTTCTGAATACCATATAAGTGTCCTTGGTTTGATTTGCAATGACTGGATCTACCTTCATTGACCCTGCCTTCGATTGTCGTGATACATTCCAGAAGGTATGTCCAAGTTTAAAGGAGATGTCCATTATTTCCGGTGATGATACTTCGGATAAATTCCATTTGCAAAATTGTCTTATTACTCACAATAATGTTTATTCATTTGTCTTCATGTGTAGTGGTCGATATATGATTGTGCATAACACTTTATTTGTAATGATCTGGAAAATACTGCCTTGCAAGGTGTGCTACGGCAACATGCTATTTCTTTCACACTGTTTTACAGTGACCGTATAAAAAGTTCTGTATATGGAATACCTTTTATTGTCATTGTTGAGTGACATCAATGTTACCCGATGCATACACAGTTTCAGGTTTAGTAGATTTAAGTTTCAACATGATGTTAAAGTTGTACAAGTTCCTTTTCCATATATTATGAGAGAGTCTTGTGATCCAACAGTTTGTACTAGTAGCCATTTACAGTAAATTAGGCTGTATGTCTGAATGTCAATAAGTGCCTTACACTGGTCTATATGTAATTACGGTAATGGGGAACTGTTAGCTTAATATGAGTTTATCATTATCAAATTTCAAGCACCTTTAGAATACAGCTCTTCAACTGATCGTGAGGAAGATCTCAAACATAGGTCACATGACATAGAGACAAGCAACCAGTTTTGTTAAATTCTGTCAGATGAAAACTCGCTACATTGAAATGGTTAGCCCTGACAGCTCCCAGAATGAGCTATGAAGGTTACAGATAAATATGTGTCTCATTACTTTAGTATACAGACACTTACAAGTATTCCCATTGCAATCTGGCACTCACCTTCTATTCCGTAACCTACGAGATATGGATAGATGATGTATGAGCATATATGGTGCAAAGTGAAAATGGCCACATATATCTGGCATCAGACGTTGAATTCAAGGGTTTTGCATGAATGAAGTATTCAATGATTCATCAGATGATTTTGTATCAGAGAAGAGTGACATGGAACAGTGTACAGATAATGTGGATACTAGTAAAGAATAGGAAAGGCATAAGCATGGTAGGTGACACCATAAGGGTTTTTGAATGATTCTGACAAATGTAGTGGGTGAAAGTGGCTGGCATGAAAGTTACAGGATAGCCACCATAAATTTCAACTCTAAACCATCCCATTCTCTTGATGTTTTTTCTTAGTGAAAAGCATTATGGATGAAGCTGAAAAAGATTGAAAGCAGTTCCCAACAAAAGCTTCAACTCCCTCCTTTAAGATGAATCAGAATGGATACAATGCTATAACACCTCCAGCACACCTCGTCATTTTGATTACATATTCAGAGCCTCAAAACTAACTCATTTATTATAAAGATGTCACATGGTATATAGTGTTCAGGATGAAAATGTTTTGATGTGTGCAGCTTCAATATATTGTAAATGTAATGAATAACTTGCATTCATATACATAATAATGAAACTTGATGCATCAAAAGAAGTATATGTATATAAGTTCACATTTAGGGAAGGATAACAGTGTGTGAATGAATATTTGTTTGATAATGGTGTTGGAACCTGAGGATTTCAATAAATAGATGAACAACTTTATTAAAAATGGAGCAATGTTTCGATGTAGGTTTGGATTCAGTGTTAGAAGCTACACCGAAACATTGCTTCCTGTGTAATATAATGTATTAGCACAGACTATGTTTGATAGACAAATGCTGAAAATTGTCAACATTACTGAGCTTATTCAGTGGTTATGCATGTACAAATGGTAGTTCAGCATGAGGAGCTAATGCACACCAGAAATGGATTGCTATAACAGGGTATTGTTTTACCAGTGAGGTTTGCAGCACAATCCCACAATCGTCTTTATATTGCTTTAATACTTTTGTTGTAGTCAAATGCTAAGGCTCACACTCGCAGGTTATATTTAGATTAAGGTCAAGTGATCAGAGGCGTGTTCAGAACCGTGAGTGCCTGCGAACGCTAGCGAAGCGCTTGATCCTGAATGCCTGTGCCCATTTTGAGCGCCCACGCGCACACGCGAACCATCCTCACAGCTGCCTCGCCAAGCGAACCAAGATGGTGACCACGTTTAATGTCATTCGTCACCACTCGCCCCTTTCCGTAACCTTTAACTAGAAGACAAGAAGCTATTCGGCTTGTCCCGGAATAACACGAGTTGGTCACGAATGGTTTAATGTAACCAAGCACTCACGTCCGTTCAGGGCCGCTACGAGCGCTCACGGGAGGCAATAGCGTGGGCACTCGTGATTCTGAACACGCCTCTGGTGTAAGCCATATGACTGAAAGGGGGAGATAACCTGGTGGAAGGGGCATGGAATGTCATGCAGTTTTCAGTTTGTTGCTTACAGTGTTGCTACATGGTTTTCAAACACCAGCAGCAACAGTGTCAGAATACAGTCTTGTACTCAGATGACCCAGAATAAAAGCTTTTGCTGTGTTGGAACCGTAGGAGTTGTCAAAATTAATACAGATATTTGCAGCAGTGATAACTTTAAAAAATGCTTGTTTGGTCAGAATTAAATGGTCTTATCTCTTATCAGAGTTATCTGCCATTAGCTCTCAACAAGAAGTAAACTGTCAAGCAATGGCAGGTGATATTAAGATTCCTCATGTCCATGCAAGCATTTCAGTGAGAGGGATACTTCAAGTGACCTATTCAAAGATTTCGAGGCCATTTCTGAATCATCAGGATCTCAAGATTCATTGTCCGTTGCATCTGCAGAAATGTCTGTGCAAGGTTGCAGAGCTCACCTCAACACAGAAGTGACGACATTACTATGGACTGTAGAAGAGAAATCTGACATCGTTCTTAGGATCAGAAGATACAGAAGATTTATTGCTCTGTCCAGTCAGAGCTCTTCCCATGTAAAGTACGGCTGAAAGAAGAAGGATGTTCAAGACGTTATTCATACATCTATCACAAAATCTCTAAAACAGAAGTTTCCAAAACAACGGTATCACTCTTTCATAATATATTGATGAGAGCAATAATTCTCAGAGCCTACAAAGCTGCTGGACTTGATACACCAGTAGCATCCAATTCGCATGAAGTAAGAGCCATAGCGCTTCATAGCAATTGCTCCATCACATCCGTCATGGAGGGATGTTCCTGGAAGTCTGATACTGTCTTTGCCAATCACTATCTCAGAGATTTTGCACAGAAGACGTGGCTGGTATTCATCAATTTGGACCTTTGATTGTAGCACAGCAATTGACAGTTCCTTCGAGGAAATAATTTTCCCACAGAATCACATAGATTCATGAAAGTCAAATTACTGTTCCCTTAGCAACTAGTGAGAGTAAATACCCCCCAGTTTTACTATATAATTCAGAGCTTGAATTCAATTAAGTTTATGACATATTGTTAACACATGGATCGTCTTAAGTCTTACAAGTCCACAAAATCTTTATATTTCCTTATCCTGACTCATGCATATTATGCTTGTCTCCTTCCTCTTGCGAATAATAGTGGAACACTTGAAATCCCTTGAAGTTCCCTTTAAAAAAGCGGACGTAAAATCACTCACCCAGAGTAGCGTCCCTTTCCTCCCTTTGGGACCCTTTTGGTCACCTGACCAACTATGTCTTGTCACTCTCTCCGTATGAATGCCTGACCTGGATTTATAGTATGAGTCAGGATAAGTATAAAATAATATTTTTACTCTAAAACAAATACATTTTCCTACTCACAGACTGGATAGAAAAACCTCTTGCCAGTGGACCCTCATATGATCATGTCATGGTATATTTGTTTGCGGGTGCTATGTTAAGAAGTAATTATGGTTTTTGTCTGATTTTATGATTTTGTGTTACAGGTAGGATGACGTAGTTGTGTGACAATGAAGGTGGTATGTGTCAGCAACGGCAATGGAGGCAGTGGGGAGGGCAATTCCAAGCCTGACACAAAAGCTCTCAGTGTGACAAATGCTGATTATATCAAAGCAAGGAAAACTGCACAGGCTGAAATTCAAAAAGCCTGCAACAGGTAATAACAAACACAACATAGTAAATATCTTACACAGTATCTATGGTTTATTCACTGCAAAATTATATGACATATGCATAAATTATTATGTTTGGAATATTATTATGAAAAGTTTATTGTAAGTTTCATATTTCAGTTACAATGCCAGTCTGGAGACAGTTCCATTCCAGAAACTGGACTTTGGTGAGACAGCAGTGCTGGACATCTTCTACAACGCTGATGTTGTGGTGGTAGACATGAGCATCCCCGTGCAGCAGGCACCACTGTACTACCACATCGGCATCAGACAGAGCATGAGCATGAAGAACAACATTGTCATCTGTTTTGACACTGACCCTGAGGTCACTGTGTCTCTTCGGGTCAGTAGATCAGCAGATGCCCTATTTGTGTGGTGGCAGTGTGGTGATTGCTACAGACCATGTAGCAGGGGAAATGTATGTCTCAATAGCAGCAGCCTTTAGGTTGTCCTTCTCACATCTCTGACCAATGGTCTTAAGAAATTGAGAAGGCAATATGTTGATCATCTCTTGAATCTGATTCTAGCCTGCCAGCTGAAACTATTTTCTCTGACAGAAAGGGTAGAGTTGTATGTATATTTTGTGCAAGTGCCTTTACCTTTTCCTCTGTCATTAAATATATTTGAAAGTGTGAAGTGAAATATTGGTTTCAGCTGGATGTATTCTCCCAGCACCCAGTACATGTTGCCGGTTGTTGTTGCAGCTGTCGTGTGGGTCAGGGATCCTCTTCTTCCCGTACCAGGTTGACAGCTGTGGGGTCTGCTTCATCAGTGACCCCTCCCAGCCCCGCATCTCAGGGGGAAGCTGTGTCCACCCTGACGTACCCACCCTCAGTCGGAAGCTGAAGGCTGCCTTCAGTGATGTGGACCAAGACAACAAGTATGTCAAGCATGTACACAGCATAACAGAGACATGGGAGACACCTAGTTGCTATGTTGATCATACATACCTGCATAGATAGATCACAGCAGAGACATGGGAGACACCTAGTTGCTATGTTGATCAAACATACCAGTATAGATAGATCATAGCAGAGCATGGGAGACACCTAGTTGCTATGTTGATCGTACATACCAGCATAGATAGATCACAGCAGAGACATGGGAGACACGTAAATCTCATGTTAAACTTGTTAATGATAGATGTGGGCCAAGGACAACTTCTGGCTCCGAATAACATACTAATGATCACCTATAATCCTGAAATCATCTTGAACTGAGTTAACTAGACAGTTTATGGAAAAGCACTTTTACTACTTTACTTCACTGGTAGGTCCAGAAAGCAATACGAGGTTATATTGAGTTGTGATATAAGACAAGGAGGATCCATCATTATATACTGATACATGAGCTGTAAGATTAACCAGTCTTGACTTGCGTAATACAAAGTATGACATTTGCATGGACTTTGTGTAGTTGTTAGATTATCATCTCAGTCATATACAAGATCAGTGACTAAATAATGCTTTCATCTCGGCAGTTATTTCAAATATTTTTATTTAATGTGTAATTAGTCTGGTTTGTGAATATGACTGTATAGCTGCCTTTATACATCCACTTTATCCCTTCTTGTTCTTAGAGTACATGCTAAGGAGAGGTTTCTCAGTGATCTCAGAAAGGCAAGAGCAAATTTCAAAGGAGAGGAGTTGGCAAAGGTACAGACTGACACATTATATAAGTGTTTTTTTTATCCTTTGATCAGATTTTTTGTTCTCTTGATTTCATAACATCTTTTATTTGGGATTACACTTTCTCTGTCAAGTACAGATTCTAAATTATTTTTCCTTATCCTGACTCATACTGTATGCTTATCTCCCTTTCCATTCAAACGGTTACATGGAAACTTGAATTCCTTTGCTCCATGAAGCAAACATAAAATCCCTCACCCAGTGAGTTACCTCCCTTTTTCCGCCAAAGTGTCCAGTGTGACCTGAACGCTGGCATGCTCTTGTCACTCTCTCCTTCATCGCCCAAGCGGACGTTCGGTTGGTTTTCCTGGGTCCCTTTTTACGGCTTATATCTTTTATAATTTCGGCTAGATTTTCAAATTAAGGCAGTGAATTGTATTTTAGTACCTTATATTATCATAACAATGTATTTATTTATGTAGGTTATGGCTAGTTTATGAGATTTTCTCACTCGATTTCAGGTGACTGTCTCTACATGGTGGCATGTAAACAATGCTGGTTACACATTTCAGCGGCTGATCCGTACCCCGTGTGTTCTTCTTGTGTTAACGCATCGGTTTAACATTGTAAATATTATGCACATTAATCAAACTTTGCATTTAAATTTTTTTTTTGTTATCCCGTTTACGCAAGACTGTGGACAATCTTAGGTGTCAAGACAGGGTTGCCGCTGGCAAGGGCGTTTCCCAGTCATCTGGTCTTGAGTTGTCTCCTCTACCATCATCCGGGAATGTTAGCATTCCCTTGTCAGCTGACTTCTTGGAATCTCCCTCCGTGGTTATTCCATCTCTGCCACTCTTGCAGAGACAGCAACTCAGCCCTTCTCTAAGAGGAAGTCTCCTCTTAGGGAGGGTCTGATCTCCAGACGCTATCAAAGAAGTAGAAGTCGTCATCATCTTCGAAGTTGTCTACGTTGAAGTCGTCATCATTGAAGTCATCGTCGTCCCGGTCTTCACGTTCAATGAGACCTTTGAAGTCGTCAAAGCTTGCTGCTGAAGTTCTCTCATTCGCGAACGATCTGACGCCTGTTGACAAAATAGACGATTCATCTTACTCACAACCACCGGTTTTCGAACCGCAGATCATTGTGAGGTCTACGCAGCAGACGACTACTTCAGTGTTCGCGAACCCTTCTACGCAGAATCATCATGCGGCAGCTACAGCATCGGCCAGGCAGTCTACACTACCCAGCGCCTCTACTGTCCCAGCAGGGTTCACGAACCCTCGTGTTAGCAGCTTGCATACATCTGAAGAGTCTACTCACACCATTCAACAGTTAGACAATGGGTTCGCGAACCCTTCTACATAGAATCATCATACAGCAGCTACAGCGTCAACCATGCAGTCTACACTACACAGCGCCTCAACTGTTCAGTAGGGTTCACGAAGCCTTACACTAGCATCCAGCCAGCTTCTACACAGTCTACCCATGTCACCCAACGGTTCGCGAACCCCTCTATGGAGGCCGCCACTCTACATCAGTGCCCTCAGCCTACCAGCAGTGCTCTAGTTAACACATTAGCGTTTGCGAACACTACCCCGCCTCCAGCTTCAAGCGACTACCTGCCTCCTACCTTGCCTGCGCATCGTTTGCAAATACATCCGCTCCAGGATGCTACTACGCAGCCCTTCAACCAACAGGACTTCGTGGCGAATATCACCAGACAAGTTGTCGTGGCAATGAAGCAGCAGCAGTTGTCTACAGAACTCCAGCGTCCCCGTAACTAATCTACACCAACGGCATCCCTCAGAGACTCCATCCAGGATGAGGCCTTGGCATCGGATGACAACATCCAGGAGGATCCGGACTCGTCCATCTGTACGGACGCTGAAATAATAGCTTGGATCGGTGACAATCTGACGATATGTTGTCTTGTCCAGGGGATAGCTCTGCTTTCCCCTCTAGCAGCTGGAAGATACAAGAATCTTTCTCGCATGGACAATTGTCCATCAATTTGTCGAGGAGGCATTTGTGTCGCAGGCACCAGAGGAGGCAGACGTTGTCGTACAGGTTCTCTATGTTCTAGATACAGTAAGGGATCGTGATTTCTTTTGGAACCTCGTGTGGGAATCGCTCCGGCAATGTATAGTCTATCTCATTTCTTGCTGCCACCGCAGTTGTCTATGGCGCCACACTTGCAAGTAGATTTGTCTGGTTCGAATAGGTTGGGTAGTTCCGATATAGCAGCGAGGCAGTCGGTGCATTGGTGGTGCCTGTCACTTGTTTCTGGGCAGTCGGCGAGAACAATTCGGAATTTGCCCGCTGCAGGTCGAAATTGGTTCGGCATGCAGAGGTAGACAAAATTGACTATTTTGCCATCTTCTACAAATTGGCGAAAGCACAGCAAATAGAGTTCGAGAAACTGTCAAGGGATCTGGTATCGCTTGTAGAAGGTGTGTCCCGATTGCTCCAGGATTTGTTTCTCTTTGTCCGAAATCAAGAGATGGGGGCAGTTCTCTAGCAGGGTCTTGAAGACCTCTGCCATGTTGGAAGTTGTCTCTCTGTGTGTCTCGAAGCTGCGCCGGATTCGCGTATATCTGGCTTGCGATATGTGGTACTTCTTCTTCGCCTCCTGAAGGGACAAACGACCCACTCGGATCTCGGCATAAGCTTCGCACGATAGCTTGGTTCCTGGCATGGTGTGTTCTATACCTATGTACCTGTATATATCTAATTGGAGTGCACCTTCACCGGTGGTTTTCCTTGGGGGAGCCCCTGTATGGAGGAGGCGTAGAAACAACACTATCTAGGGGAGTGGTCCAAACCCTCATCGCCATACTGTTTGTTTTTTTGTGAGTTGGACTCCATTTTGTTTTCCATATACCTGTCTTGGTGTTGGATCAACTATTGGGGGTTGGGGGGGAGGAGAACAAGGAAGACAAAAAGTGTCTCTATATACTCAAATGCATGAATGCACTTCTTCTGGTTTTTTCTTCTTATTTTATCATTATTTTTTCACTGCGAATCGCATCACTGTTCTAGAAGATCGACAGTCAAGCATCCAGGCGTATCTTTCAGCTACTCTCAACTCACCACTGCCGATAAGAGCGTGTCAGTGTCTACTAGGCCTCCTCATGTCAGCACAGGCTCTCACATGCAGAGGAAGATTGCAGTTACAACCACTACCACGCTTCCTCAGGCCTCATATCGACAGAAGGTTTCCATCCCTCAGCTCCTGAAGTCGTGTCTACTCTGGTGGACGCACAAGTCGAAAGTCTGCGGCAGAACCTATTTGCAAGAGCTGGCTTACAACCTTCATCTCTTCATGGACGCATCTCTACAGGAATGGGGAGCGCACTGCAACAAAGAGACCGCATCAGAAAGAAAGGGCTCTACACATAAACCAGCTGGAATTCAAGGCGGTCATTGAGGCAGTTCAACACTGGGTGCAGCTGTTGAGGAATCAGTTCCTCATGATCCACACAGACAACTCTGCAGTAGCCTTCTACATAAATCTACATGGCTCAATGAGATCGGCGCTGCTACTAGAACTGATGTTCCAGCTCTTCAACTTGGCAGACGACCTCAACCTATGGATGAAGGCCTGCCACATTCCAGGGGCAAAGAACATCTTAGCCGATGCCTTATCCAGACCAGTCCGACCATCACCCACAGAGTGGATGTTGCATCCGGAAGTGTTCCCGCTGCTCACCAAAGACCAAGGCCGTCCCCTAATAGATCTATTTGCGACACAATTCAATGACCAGATTGCGATGTACGTCTCACCAGTACCAGATCCTAAAGCCTGGGTTCGCAATGCTCCAGCCATACCATGGGAGGGACTGAACGCGTGTGCTTTCCCACCGCCGATCCTGTTACCACAAGTTCTACACATGATCGCCCAGACCAAAGTTCTACGACTGATATGGTTGTGCCTTACTGGCCAGTGAGAACCTGGTTTCCAGACTGAATACAACTCATGGGAGAACCAATGCTGCATCTACCAGACTGGCCAAATCTACTGATCCATCCTCACACAAGATAGCCTCACGCCAATCCAGCAGGGCTCCCGCTTTACACATGGAACGTATTACGCACTGCCTGAGAAGAAGAGGGTACTCCACCAGAGCAGCTAAGGTAAGATGCTGCAGCACTACGTTTAGAGCTCCAGCCTGAGACCGCAACGTAGTGCTGCAGCATCTTACCAGCAACGACTACATCTTACCAGAGTCACACTACCTTTGAGGTGCTAACACCGAAGACGCTGTTCCTCCTCGCACTATCTACAGCTGCCCAGATGTCAGAGATACACGTCCTCGACAACGGATTAACCAGATTCGTCTCCGGCCCAGCATTGTCTACGATCCTCGGACCAGATGATGCACAAGACCTGTCCCTGTGCCCAGTCCGAGCCTTGAAGATCTAATTAGAAAGGACTGCTACAAGGAGGAGGAAGTTCAAGCGTCTCTTCATCCCGCTATCACCCACCATGACTATTGAAGTCTCCTGAAGTCTCGTTTTGGATCAGAGCCGTCATCCTACAAGCCTACAGAGCAGCAGGGCTGGATCCTCCTAAAGGTCACTTTATCACCATCATAGAAGGCTGCTTCTGGAAGTCAGACACAGTGTTCGCCAACCATTATCTTCGGGATATCGCTACAGGAGATGTATCCGGTATCCACTAGTTGAGCCCCCTTGTAGTAGCTCAACAAATCAGGATTCCTGCCAGACGATGAGAAACTCACCCTTGTCACGCTGACTTGTGGACGCCAGGCTGGCAGAGAGTCCATGCTCCACTGTTTTATGAGATAAGGCAGCGCATGAATGATGTAGACTCAGTTTTGGTAACGTTCTTGCCTTAACAGATAGGTCGCAATTTAGTTCTGGTAACGTTCTTACCTTAACATATGGGTCGTTCGAGATGACTAGACATCAAGGCATACTAGTTTGTCTACATCCACGAAATCTAGAAGATTTACTTCTTTTATTAATTTAAGAAGGTTGTGCCCCGATCATCATCAGAATTCAACACGAAGAAGCCATAAGAAAAGCTCCCAGGGGGTATAACAGCAAACGCTATGTTGACAGATTCAGTCACAGGGAGTCCCGTAGGTAGCTGACACACCACCTATTCCGTCTGATTCCTTAAGCATATAGCATGAGTCAGGATAAGGAAAAATATGTAATTTTTATGATAAAATTGATATTTTATACTTAACCTGACTCATGATTTGAAGGGCCCTCCCCTCTCAGCTCTAGGGGCCTCCCTGTAGGTGTTAGTGTGGGCTAAGGGAGGTAACCCACTGGGTAAATGATTTTACGTTTGTTTCAGGGAGCAAAAGGATTCAAGTTTCCATGTAACCGTTCAAAGGGAAAGTGAGATAAGCATATAGCATAAGTCAGAATAAGTATAACATATCAATTTTAAAAATTGGATTGTTTTTTAGTCCCATCTGGAATTTGAACCATCACTCTTAGAGTGATTCACCTAATTATTAGCACTCTGATATCTAGACTAACAGTTGTCCAACTTCCATGTTTCCTCTACTTCCATTACTGCGGAAGCTGTGGTGGCAGAGTGGGTTAGATGGCTGATGTTTCAAATCACTGATCGGACTCAACCAACAACTGTACTAGAATCTGTACTTTATGTAGAAAGTGTAAACACATGTTACATTTGACCACTTTCTAAATGTGTACTCTTGATTTAATAAACTATTACATTTAATTAAATGAAAAACCTTACAGGTGAGTTTTGCTGGTGCATGTAATTACTGGTGACCATTATGGTGTTGCAGGCACTGACTGCCATGCGCCGGAGACTGGACGACCCACAGCTGATGTCAGTGGATGTTGTCCTCAACATGCTCATCTCCTACAGGGAGAAACAGGTATGGCCAGCCTGCCCAGGATAGTACAGATGGCAGACAATGCAGATCACTAAAATAGCTTCACAATAGATTGTGTAAACTGCAGGTCTTGTTTAGTAATGAGCTTAACCACAAATTAGATGTCTCTGATTGCTATAGGACTTTGTAGTGATGAATGGCTCTTGATATTTGCTTTAAGGACTACAATGCAATGGTAGAACTGGTTGAGGATCTTGGCCGGATCCCAAACACCAAGGTGGTCAACACTATTGCAATCAAAAACCTGTATGCCTTCGCACTAAACAGGTATGTATCACCTTCCTCTCATCAATACGATCTGCATACTGTCAGTTATTCTTAGCCCATAAACAAAATAAAAAAACAACAACATTCACCACTCTTCTGATGCAAGTAGCTACTTCTATCACCCAAGTGAACTGCCATGCCCTCACACATGATGTATTGCCTGAGAACATGTACAGCGGGTGGCCATATTATTACGTACAAACATGGCGGACCGATTGTTGACGACAAATTTATGCGGGAGTTCAAAGAGTCATAACTCGTTAAATATAAACAGTCTTACCTCAATATTTTGTAATGTGTCCCTTGTTCCTTATTATTTTCAACATCCGCCTTGGAATAGATGAATAAAGATTTCTGATGAAATCGAGGGGAATATTTTCCCAGATGTCCCGCAACTTCGTGTTCCAAGTTGGCAGCCAACTGAATATTTCTTCGGCATCCCTGAAGTCTATTCTTCAGGTAGAGCCAACAGTTCTCAATAATATTTGCGTCTGGACTCTGTGCAGGCCACAACATTCCAGTAATGTCATTTTGTCGGTTGTAATCCTGAAACGACACGGGCCCGATGTACAGGGGCGTTGTCATCTTGGAAGATGTACCGGTTTCCCGGAAAATGTCTGACTATAACGGGCCAAAGCATATCATCGAGGATTTCTGTGTATTTCTGAGCATTTATGTTGCCATTAACAACACAAATGGTACCAACACCATGCCAGGTGATACAACCCCACAACATCAAACTGACGCGTGCCTGTCGTCCCGGACAAAGACACTGCGGGAGGTATTCTTCACCGGGCTGTCTCCAAACAAAAACACGATTGTTTTCCCCAATGATAATTTTACACACTGTACGATATCGTTGACCCCTTGCCCAGGCCAAACGATTTCTGACATTATAGTCACAAATTTGGATTTTCTTTCTAACAACACGTCTATGAAATTTATTTTCATATAATCATCTCCTTACAGTCCTCACCGATACACGTGTAGCCCTATTGTTGTTCAAATTCTCAGTTATTTCACCCAAAGGTGAAATCCTGTTGTCTCTGACCAACCTCAAAACTTGTCGATTGTCCCGAGGAGTCAGTTTCCTCATACAGTCTGTTCTGGAAGCATTCTCGACTGATCCACGTCGATTAAACCGCTTTGCCACCGAATATACGCTGCTTCGAAGCATTCCAAAGAATCTTGCAATGTTAGAACATTTTTCCCCATTGTTGCCGGAAATAGCCAGAATATCTAGCAGACGACAAATAGATTAAAAATAGAGTCACATGACAGACACGTGACATCATGGTCGATCATGTGACTGGATATTACGACGATATGTGGTGTCGTTTTTGAGTAGCAGTATTTTAAAAATGGGCATCGCTATACACGATATCAACGCCGTTACAATTGTACGTAATAATATGGCCACGCACTGTAACTACTGTTATGTTGGCAGACGGAACAGGAATGGTGACAGAGACAAGGCGCTCGATGTCATGGAGAAGGTCAGTGAAAATACCACAAATCAAATAGGAATTCATTAAAAATGTATTAATGTTTTGCATGTGTTCTGGTTAGAATTGGTCCTAAGCAGCCTGTGCTTGTAATAACAGATGGTTTAATGGATTGGATGGTCAGATTTAGTTGATCCCCTGTCATAATTCCCTGACCATTGCTCATTGTCTATCTGATTGTTTAATGGCTGCTGTCATTTTGCTAGAACATTGTTGAGTTCTGTTTGGTGTAAAACCACTATGTAACTAGTCATTAGTTACCAAAGTCTCATGTGTAGTTTCATTTACTTGGAGACTGAGGAGCAAAGTCCAGTTTGTGACAGGTCACTTGTAAATAGAGCGATAATGCTGGTTATACATACAAGATCTGAGCACATACTAACATGTATTTCTGCTTTAATTATGGGTTACTGTTATTCATTCCATTGTTTGAAAACTGTAGTGAGAATGATAATGATGTTCATTTTTGCATGATTGCACATCAGACAGCCAATGAATATTCAGAACATACACTCAGTTGATATAACATAGTCCATAGCTAATTATGAACTGTATCGTGTCAGTAGTTGTTGTTAAGGACAGACCATATACAAATATCAAGGGTTTATGTCACCAAAATATTATTGTGACCCAATAATATGTAGAATTATGAGTTTTGAACCATTTTGATAAGATGATGAGGCAGTTTGTGTGTGTGCCACCTCTGTTTGTTGTTCACAGGCCATGTCTGAGTCTGAGAGCCAGGTCCCAGACATGATCTGTTTGTGTGGCCGCATCTACAAGGACAAGTTTGTAGAGTCTGACTACTCCAACCAGTCTGCTCTAACACATGCTGTAGAGTGGTAGGTTTCTACTCCAGTCATTGAAACCCTTGTAATATTTAAGCTGTGGCTGGTTCAGATTGATTAATACATATACAGTATATTACAGTAGATGATCTGATCTCATAGATAAGCTGACCCCCTAACTTGCTTCAGATTGATTAATACATATTATTACAGTATATTACAGTAGATGATCCGATCTCATAGATAAGCTGACCCCCTAACTTGCTTCAGATTGATTAATACATATTATTACAGTATATTACAGTAGATGATCCGATCTCATAGATAAGCTGACCCCCTAACTTGCTTCAGATTGATTAATACATATTATTACAGTATATTACAGTAGATGATCCGATCTCATAGATAAGCTGACCCTAACTTGCTTCAGATTGATTAATACATATTATTACAGTATATTACAGTAGATGATCCGATCTCATAGATAAGCTGACCCCCTAACTTGCTTCAGATTGATTAATACATATTATTACAGTATATTACAGTAGATGAGCCGATCTCATAGATAAGCTGACCCCCTAACATGCTTCAGATTGATTTATACATATTATTACAGTATATTACAGTAGATGATCCGATCTCATAGATAAGCTGACCCCCTAACTTGCTTCAGATTGATTAATACATATTATTACAGTATATTACAGTAGATGATCCGATCTCATAGATAAGCTGACCCCCTAACTTGCTTCAGATTGATTAATACATATTATTACAGTATATTACAGTAGATGATCCGATCTCATAGATAAGCTGACCCCCAAACTTGCTTCAGATTGATTAATACATATACAGTATATTACTGTAGATGATCCGATCTCATAGATAAGCTGACCCCTTAACTTGCTTCAGATTGATTAATACATATTATTACAGTATATTACAGTAGATCATCCGATCTCATAGATAAGCTGACCCCCTAACTTGCTTCAGATTGATTAATACATATTATTACAGTATATTACAGTAGATGATCCGATCTCATAGATAAGCTGACCCCTAACTTGCTTCAGATTGATTAATACATATTATTACAGTATATTACAGTAGATCATCCGATCTCATAGATAAGCCGACCCCCTAACTTGCTTCAGATTGATTAATACATATACAGTATATTACCGTAGATGAGCCGATCTCATAGATAAGCTGACCCCTTAACTTGACCCTTAAAATCAGTGTCAAAATGGTATGTTTCGTACATAAGCCGACCCCTCGTGATGGGGGTCCTAATTGCGGACAACTCAGACCACAAGACAATTGGGAGTTACCATCTTGGATGTTAAAGGTCACATGCAACGTAAAACACAACTTTGCAGATTCTGATACCTTTCGGTATGGACTTACCGAAACAAATCGTCAAAAATGCAAATTCAACTTATAAAGTTGAAAAATAACGAGATGAAAAAAACGTCGCGAAATCGGAGTTCAAACGTTTCACTAAATTTCCCCAGACTTTTCTGGGGAAAACGGGTTTCAACAGCTGGGCTGCGCTCATAGCATGTGCGCAGTGAAATAGGTTCGCGCAGCTTGGAAATGGGTTGTCCGGTGAATACTCGGTGAAGGCTTTGGTGTGAGCTATTTTTCTAATGTTTTGTTGATATCTCACAGGCGCTAGCTTTTTATATGTTATGACAGTAAATTAACTGTTTATACAATTTCATTTGTCTATTTCACCACACGTTCTTCTTACCGAGTCACTTCTCAGTTCGATACTTAAAAGAATTATCATTATTCAGCGTTGACAGAATTTCTAACTGTGATATAGATATGTCGTTGTCACAGACAAAACTCAATGTCTTGTTTTATTGACACCTGTGTGTCTGCCTGCCTGTCTGCTAATGACAATATTCAATACACAACTGCTATCACTGACCACATGCAATTTGAACTTAACACCAATCAGGCTATACACCATAAACAAAATGCTTTGATTTATGGCCCGAGTTCGGTCTCTGTCAGACTATGTAATTACACAGACAGGCAGGGGTGATACTTGAACACATGACATGTTATGATGTCTGTTGATTGCAAAATGTTATACACAAAAAATGAGCATGTACATGTATTTACAAAACCCAACATCTCTATATATACACACACAATAAGCCGTGAGGGCATCTGCAAATGAACCAGCCGTTACACTTGAGTGCACACCCACCCGCTCTGACTGGGTTCGGTATCCCGGCTGCTTCGTTTCTTGGGAAGTAAACCGAAGTACACAATATTGCACTTTTGATTTGCGATTGTACGCTTATAATTTTGTTCATATGTTTTTTCATAACCAGCAATGTATATTATATGTCATGAATAAGTGATAATTGTGTTTTAATTATGTTTGATTTTTTGGTTGCATGTGACCTTTAATAGTATGTTTGGTGAGAATAGTATCTAAAGTACTGTTGGAAATAGGAAAAAAAAGTTATTTCTCATGTATATCTACAATTTAGGTAGTTAATATGTGATAGTGTGAAATATCTGTTAAACTAAGTTCGACCTAACTACAGTCGCAGTGGGAGGGAGATAGGAAACGTAAAAGAAGGATTTTACTGAGGAGAGAATAGTGCAGAAATGAGCAATGCAGTTTTTTTCTAAGTCCAATGCGACTTATTCAGAACAGACCATGACATTATGCAAATTAGTGTGCGATGATATTGTATTACATAGGACACTTTTTAAATGATCATTTTGAAATTAGACTTAGCTTCTTTATAAACGATAGCAGACGTAAAAAATATTAACTTTAATACTGAAACTATTAAGGATGTAGCTACCATGGCGTCTTAAGTAGTATGCACAATGGGGCTACGGGACCAGGTCCCTATTCCCGTAGCACCACTGTGTATACTACTACTGAGGTGCATGCAAAATTTGATGAAAATCGGTCGAATAGTTTCTGAAATATTGACTTTTAAGTGAACATGGGATCGGTCGGGAAATGGTAAAAACCTTTTTGTCGTAATTAAGTCTTAATTAATCTAATGAAGTCATCGAGACTGTTCCCAATGCCGTTTTGCTATAACGTAACCATCTGCCGAGATGCATGCAAAATTTCATGAAAATCGGTCAAATAGTTATGAAATAATCCCTTTTTAGTGAGCATGGGGTCGGTCTGGCGAAAGGCTAACAATCCAACATATTGTCGTACTTGTTATATATTATCGAGGCGAGAGGTGTTTTCAGCTGAATGAAACGCAGCTCTCGGCAGTTCCCCCGAGCTGCCTTGATACCATCTCGTTAGGATGTACTTGTAGCGATGTGTGAGCTGTCTGAAGGTGAATGAAACGCAGGTCTCGGCAATCATCACCTCGCCACCGTCTCGGGGGTTGCTTTGAGCGAGCGCCGTGGACGAGTATAAGTGTGTGTGTGCGTGTGTGTCTCGGCTCGGGTATGATGATGCGCGGACGGCTGACTAGCGAGGCTACAGATGTCTGAAATTGAATGAAACGCATCTCTCGGCAGTTCCTCCTGGCGGGTCTCCTCGCCGCCATCTCGGTAGCATTGAGCGAGCGCTGTGGGCAAGTCGCAGTGTGTGTGTCTCGACTCAGCTTGTACAGACGACCGGCTGACTGGCTGGCTGGGCTACGTTATGTTGATTTCCACTAAATCATACCGCAGCTCTCAGCAGTCCCCTCCGGTCGCCTCTCTGTCATCTCGGTAGTACTGAGCGCAGCAGCCCCTCGGTCGCCGTGGTAGTACGAAGTGGGCGTGTGTGTGTGTGTCTCGACTCGGCTTGTACAGCCAACCGGCTGGCTGGTTACATTATGTTGATTTCTGCAAAATCATACCGCAGCTCTCGCATTCCCCCAGGTCACCTCACTGCCGTCTTCGGTAGCATTGAGCGAGCGCTGTGAGCCAGACGAGTGTGTGTGTGTCTCTCAGCTCGGCTATTCACCTACAGCTCACTGAGCTGGCTGGCCGGCTGGCTACGTTATGTTGATATCCGCGAAACAATTTATTGTGAATCTCCTTCTATGATTTGTTTGGTTTTCATAATGAAGGCTTGTCAGGCCTGTTGCTTCCCTTGTTCTATGAATTTTTCTTTCTCGTCTTCGCAAATGACGGCGTTTTTACGAGACTTGGTCCGAATCTCTTGTTTCATTCTGTGATATTTTGCGATTTCTGATAGCACCAAACGAAACTCTTCTTCGGAGATTTTAGAGTCGGTGAGCGCAGTGGAAATATGAACGTCTATCGTGTTTGCTTCGGTTAGAATTCTAATTTCGTCGTGTTTCAATGCTTTACGTTGCAGTCTGCGAGACACGAACTTAAGGGTACAGTCCGGGTACAGTCCCATTCTGTATATATACTCTTTTTATAAAATAGTATTTAATTGGTCCTCAGTCAATGTTTGATGAATATACTTTAAGCTGTTGAGGTACAAGTTTTCGTATATATAAATGGTCTGGAGTTCAATAAAATCATTTTGAAAAATCATAATATCTAGGTTTGCGGTGGGGATTCTTCCTGGTTGTATACAAATACAACAACGTTTTTGTTGATGGCGATCATGCCCGCGTATTTTTAACCCGTGCAGAAGGTTTATATCTACTCTGGGGGCATCCCCAACAAATACTTCGATAATAAGAGTAGAACCTTGTATCATTCTGATCCACGAGTCTGGCTCATCAGTTTATTTTAGTAAAAATATCGCTGCTTTTTCTCATTGGGGACTAACATGTTAGCCGTTTGATCTGGTAATGGCGCTACATGCTTGTTCACGTTAATCTTCCAGGATCAAACCTCCCCAGCAGTATCCCGTTATTTTTTAGCGAGACGCCACCATCATTATTATCCATGATAAGATAGGGGGTGGTAAGGATAATATTGATGATCCAGTTCAACTGAGATTCGATGATGACTTCTCGTCGTTTGTACACGTTATCTTGTAAGCGCATGGCGTATAAGGTGTTTTCCTCGCCGGGCAGATCGAATCCCCGCATGTCTCCAGATCGGCTAGCATTACTTTGTCATCTCGTTTATATATAATGTAT